TTTACTACAATTAAACCGCTGGAAAGCATTGGTGGCACTTTACATATAATCTCACAACCTGTACCTTTCTTACATTCTGAGACCCAAACAAATTCAGCGCCTTCTGTGCTTTGATTTAAATATGTTTTTGTTAATGGTCAGTACGACTCAGTAGCTTAAATTATGACATACAACTCGTACATATATAACGATAAGTTTTGCCTGCCCAGACCATTTTAAGTAAATGTGACGTTAAATTCAAATACTTCCTTATTTAGAAAATGTGCAGCAAGCACGCTGGTCTTTTGACAGTTCAACGCGAAACTGCAATATCGGTGCAGAATAGAATACAGCCTTAAAAAAAAGTCCCGTCAATATAATGACATTTTGGTTCCATATATTGCTACTTTGGTATCATATATTGAGGAACTGGTATCATATAATGTGAAAATCAACTTATATATTGCTACTTCGGTAACATACATTGATAAACTGGTTTCATATATTGAAAAATTGATTTAATATATCGATAATTCGGTTTCATATAAGGGCATCTGGTTCCATACATGACTTACTTGGATCCATATATTGAAGATCTGGTATCATATTAAGTGATAATCAACTTATATATTGATACTTCGGCTCCATACATTGATAAAATGGTTTCATATATTGTAAAAATGAATAATTATTAATATATTGATAATTCGGTTTCTTTTAAGGGCGTCTGGTTCCATAAATTGCTAGTTTGGTACCATATATTGAAGACCTGGTATATAATGACGAATTGTGATAATCAACTTTTATATTGATACTTTGGTTCAATACATGGATGAAATGGTTTCATATATTGTAAAAATGAATTAATATATTGATAACTCGGTTACAAATAAGGACACCTGGTTCCATACATTGCTATTTTGGTTCCATATATTGAATAATTGGTATCATATATTGTGATAATCAACTTATATATTGATATTTCGGCTCCATACATTGATAAAATGGTTTCATATAATGTAAAAATGAATTAATATATTGATTATTCGGTTTCATATAAAGATATCTGGTTCCATATATGGCTACTTTGGTGCCATATATTGAAGAATTGGAATCATATATTGAGAAAATCAACTTATATATTGCTAACTCGGTTTCATACACTGACGGTATGGTTTCATATATTGTAACTGTGGATTAATATAATGGATTCCGGTTAAATAAGGTGTTTTCAAGTCATATATATAGTCGAAGTAGCTTATATATTATCCAAATGGTTAAATAAATTGAAAAAAAAAACAATATCAGACAGCCATGGCTTTCCATATGTACCAACCTTCCCTTTGCTGTTGCGCTATGTTCATTGTACATTGTAAGCATATTATGTGATAGTGACGATTATTTGGTGGAATGCACTTTTCCAAATTATGTAACCAGAACAGTTGACCTCTATTTCCTACAATCCCCCTTCCCTACACATTTAATGCAAATATTTCATTTTTTGGTAATATTTTATTATAAAACATGTTTTGGTCAGTCTTTTTCATGCTTATGTCATTTCACGTTTTTGAATAAACATTGTGTTGTGATAAGCCTCATTTATTTCCATTCCATTTATTTTACTTGGATAATATCATTTAATTTACATTTCTTGCTTACGGAACGTCAGTGGCTCTACTCAGGTACCCGTTCGTGCCTGAAATAATGTTCGTTATGCCTACGTCACATTACAAGCGGGGACCGGCCGATATAGAGGGATCGATTGGACACCGTTGAAAATTTGAGATCGGAGAGAAACAGTTCAATCATGTCCGGGAAGAAGTGGGCGGTCATTCTCCCGCTGTGGTCAGTTAGGTATTCGGATGGTTTCCGAGGGTACTCGCCCGGCCATCCGGTGAAAACACTTGGCGTCTTCTTTCTGGACACCGGTCGATATTCTAAAGATACCCGGCAGACTACCGTACGATAAATTTTCAGTTGCCTTCCGTTATCTGGCCTGTTTGCAACAATCGTGCGGTGACGGTAAAGTATACGTGCGATATCTTGTCGGCTGTCGGACGGTATTCGTATGGCATGCTATCCCATTTTCCGGCCGTTATTCACACCCCTCTTTTGTCGGCATTTTTCCTTGTCTTCTTCTCCTCTGATTTCTCCCCCACCCCTTCTTTGCTCTCTGTTTTGGAAGGTATATTACACTCTGAAATCAGTTTTCCATAAAAGATTGTAAATGAAACTTGAAAACTTTTAGAAACCTTCATGGACGTGTGTGAAAACTGAGAGAATATGTGTGTGTAATTGAGTTTCTAAATACTCGCCATCGGTTGCCCAGAACAGTATTAGTCGTTCTAGATGTTAGCGCAAGATACAGATAGCAAGATGCCCTAATTTCAGAAAAATATGGAAAAAAATATCAATAAGGAAGGCGGCGTTCAATGAACGCAACCACGACACTATCTAGTCACACAGGATGACCAACGTCAAAGAGCCAAGATCCTTCTCTTTTGAGCACTCATATAGGGGACCTCGCTTTAAAGTCTCGTCTGAAAGATTCCTAGCAATTTCAGTTGGTCATCCCGGGAATCGAACCCACAATGTACAGATAACAAATCCAGCGATTTAACCGATTCAGCTCTGCACGCTTGCTAATGAGAGAATGATGGTGTTATTTATGATTTACCCTGAGGACTTTGGCAGTAAGCCAACTTGAATATACATACCAGAGCACAGTTCAGCCACCGCATCGCTCCTAGACAGTCTGTCAAGCAGTTAAACAGTAATATTTTTTTTTTCACTTTCGCAAAGTACTGATAACATCTGTACAACGAAAGTGACCTTCACCGTCGTCCGAGAATTTGATCAAAGGCTTTACCAGCCGTACGGTCTGTTTAATAACCCCAACGCTATCCTTACGGACATTTTAGGACCATACGTGCGACGTGCTGCGTCCATCCGGGTCCCGGTCAGTAACCTGCCGAGACGCCTTCGGTGTCAGACCGCTCAGAAACTAGCGCCCAGGAGGTAAAAAATCTAACCGTTATGTAACCGATAACAAAAGGTGTCCGGCTTGGTATCGGAAGGTATTTTACCGTGTCTGCTACGTTGCGCTGGCGATGTAGCGGATGCCGGAAGAAAATATTAACTCTGCACTAAAATTCTCCGATTACCCGTACGGTGCTCCACCGGTCACTTGACACCGGAGGGTCACCGGCCGGAGACCTTTAAAAAATTTGCAATTTCAGCCCGTTCAGGCATCGGTACTCGATCGTAAACCTAATCGGAGTGTAATGTGACGCAGTCTTTAGGGCACTCGAGATCTTCCTCCACCAGTAAAGCTGGAACGTCGCCATATGACCTAAACTGTGTCGGTGTGACGTACAAACCAATAAAACAAACAGAACATTGCTTGCTTGAAGAAAGACCTGTGTTAAATGTCTTCATTTCTAGGCTACTTTGGTAGTGATATTATACTGGTATAGCATGGTATTGCTTTCAACGTCCATGACAGAGCAGCATTAATTACATGGGAGGTTGTGTTGTATTTCAACGATCGCTGGTACTTCCGGTGCTACGAGAGTGACATTGATGTTGTAAACACGTGGACAGAATATCACTCAAGACGAGGCCCTATGTGTGATAATCATTTTTTAAATGTCACACGTTGATTGTTATATCATATCTATTAAATCATAAATTACCTATAAAAATGTAAAGAAAATGATTTATTGTTAATAAATAAAGTAAGTTCTGTTCTGTTCTGATAGAACAATTCCAGCTTTTCGCCATCAATTAAGTGAACAAACTATCAAAAAATAGACTTGTGTAGGTAAATACAGATAACCATTTCATATTTAAAATAGATACACGATATACAGCATCGCTGTACAACCGTTCAACATGCTCGTTTCACAACCAACTGCACACCTACGTCACTCATTGCCCAGTTCTCCGTCCTTAGCAACATATAAATCTCTGTGAAAAATACAAGTCTTGTAATAACATTTTGTCCTTCGTATTACAATTATCTTGTTAAAATATTTACAATTTTAATACAACTTGTACCGCGTTACAAAGGAAAATGATTAACTCAACCGGAACTCATAGACATGATTAATTACATTCCATATCAAGTGAAAAAAGTTAAATTACCAACTTAATTTTGAAAAGGACCACCAGGTTATCTAAGCTCTGGGCATTGAACTTTCAGAGATTATCAAGACATTTTTATTACATAAATCTATGTAAACTAAGTGAGCCCATGGGCAGTGCCATTTTGTTTTTTACCTCAGGCTAGAGGAATGATTTTCATAACTTATGTAGATGTACATGCCAAAAAAGAATTAAAGCTCTATCCATTGTGGTTTCAGAAAAATAAGACTTTAATATATTTTCTTATAGATGTCTGTTTAAATACAAACAAGTGGGCCCCCTGGATTTGGCCAGTTTGACCCCGGTGTCATGATTTATATAACTTTTGTAACAGACCACAAGGTGATGCAACATGCCAAAGATCTAAGCTTAGGTGTTTTTGAGAAGTGGCTTTTTAAGATACAATGTACAAGTGTTAATCAATCAAATGACCAATGCGACAGGACCAATTTTGACAGGCATTTTTTAATGTTTTGTTTTTTTTGTAGATGACCACAAGGTGATGCTACATGCCAAATATCTAAACTCTGGCCAATGTAGTGTTTGAGAAGATTTCATATTTAAAGTCTATTTTTAGCCTCTGTGAATTACAAGTGGGTCAGACAAAAAAAACACATTTATAAAACTTTTGTACAGGACTACCTGAAAATCATTCGGATTCCTGTAAAGTTTGGTCAAAATCAATCAAGTGGTTTAGGAGGAGATGTATTAAGAAATTATAGATAATCATAGATGACGAACCAAGGATGATGAACAACTGACCCACTGTCATCATAAAAACTCACCTCTGAGCACTTTGTGCCCAGGTGAGGAAAAAAAAGAAGCTTTGATAACTACATTCAAATCATTAAGTTAAAAAATAAACAAGTTCATGAAACATTTCAAAAACTTTTTATTAAACACAAATCATACAGAAAATAAGTCTTGTTCAGACAGTGATGGTTAAACATTGAGGTTATCTCAGGTCATACTGCAAGGCTAAAGCATTGATGTCAGTCTCTGGATGGTGTCCACAGTCCCTCAAATGTGTGAAAATGTCTGTTAAAACTGAAATAAATAGACAAATCTTAAACATTGTAGATAGATAAATCTAAGACATTTTGTTGTTTTCCTGAAAGTGTAACTCTAAACAGAGTAAATATGACTTTTTAAGCTATCTTTACTAACATGTTTATTCACATCATGACATGTCCCATGAATTTAAGTGATTTTTTTAAAATTAAAATTAAAACAGGTAATGATAATTTAAGCTTAAATGCTGATAGTTTTGTTACCTGAAGTTAGGAACTGTATTATTTGCATTTTGGGTTAGACACTACACAATGCAATTAAAGAGATCATTATTGTATTGCATTGCATTGCACATGTATATTCAAGGCCACTGTTACAGTCATATAAAACCTTGGGATTTTTACTTCTTTAGAAAGGGAAAGTTTTATAACATTTGAATAATGATCTTAGAGCATTTAGATGCTTATTACCTGCAAAAAGTAGCACTAACGTGAAATAATTTGTCACAAAAGTAGCAAAAATAAAGTAGTATTTTAACTTCCAATCAAAATACTAAATCACTATAATTGTACTAATTGCCAAAAAGTGACAAAAGAAAAAGATAGTTCAGGTAATTGGTCAATGAGTAACTTTTTAGAAACTATAAAAGCATTCCGAAAAGCTTTTGTGAAAGAAATAAGGAAAGTTTTTCATAATGGGCCTTTAATGTCAGCTAAATTCCTACAATCAAATCTATCTTGGTATTGTATAAATTCATGTTAATTTTGTACAACTGATCACTTAAAAAAGTGTTTATGAGTCAACAGATTGTATGCATAAAAACCAAATATCCTAATCTATAGGCTATATTCTGAATCAAATGATAAAACTTAATTTTGAAAATCCCAACTTAAATAGCCAGTCATTTAGGGATCTAAGTCATATTTCAGGATCAAACTCTCTTTCACACACACATTGTGTCAAACTATAAAGCATAAACATATAACATCCTTACAATTTAAGGTTTTCCACAAACAAGAAATGAGCAAAAATTATATGCCCACTGACTTATCAATGGATATGAAAGCAAACAAATATCAGCTCAAGTTTTGTAAAGAGTAAAAATTATAATGGAAGTTTATATCTACAATCTATTAAGATTTATAAATACCTTCTTTATCTTTTTTGGACATAAACATTGCAACCATAGAGAACCGTTTGACTGTAGCTAGATTCTTGAGGCATTCCCAACAATTATCCCCATTTCTGAAATGGAACACAGAAACAATTAAACTCTTATCTTCTCAAAAGTCTAACTAAGAATTCAGCAAAACCAGTGCTTAATATAAATCTGACCTTCAAAGTAAAACAACAATTTAAATTTTTGTCATTGTTGATATCGAATTTACCCACACTTTTTAATTTTTATAAAATTTTCAATTTCAATTGAATTCAACAGGCATGGTACATAGCATAGGCCATCTACAATGACAGCTTTCAGTCCTTAAACTTTTCAACTAACTGATATAAGTCAGCTGCTGATAATTTATAGTTCTGGCAACTAATGTAAACAGGACATTCAGGAGAAAACATAGCATTTTTAGGAAAAAAATTCATTAATTTTTGGCAAGGGGAAATGGCTTTATTTGGCTGTAAAATATAGGGAAAAAATCACTGCAATTTTCAAAATATGTTAGGTTTGGGCATATATTTACATAAATCAGAGAATATGATTTTCTTTTTCATTCATCTATGTGAATACTTTAAACATTTGTTATTATCTCTGTTGATTGTCAAGTTAGTACATCAGTCAAATATATTCATCAAAATTGCAACTTATCCTAGAAAGAGAATAATTATAATTAAGATGACAGTCATTTTACTTTGTTATAGTATCATTATTGGGGGGTTTTTAAACTTGTGTGAGATCTTCACAGTACTCTAGTCATGACTAAAAGTTTGTATAAACTAGTATTTTGTGATAGTTTAAGATAAACTAATAAAAAATTTAAATGAATAAATTTCAGTCAAAGTAATTTGCATAATTGATTACATATCAAAATCATTCAATCAGGGCCAAGACACATCTTCATTGATTATTGATTATACATACATTTTGAAAGAAAGATATTTTGTGGCAAGTTTGAAATTCAGAATACTTATAAAATTTTTGTTAAGTTTTTAAAGCTATGTAAAAACTATTTTACTTTCAAGTTATACAAAAATACACTTGTTGTGTTTTGTGATGGACAATTCTTATCGCAAATTTATATGAATGAACTGGTTAAACCAACTGGGAAGTATTTACATAATATTTTACATTTATTCATTAAACTCTGGAAGTTACAAAGACTTACGGAATGTAACATCTTTTGATCACCAATAAGATTGTCTGTAAAACGTCTGCATCAAGAAATTGTCCAAACAACTTTGTATAATCTGATGGCGGGATTTTCTGTAAAAATCAAGAATATAACAATCATGTACAGTTTCAAACAGCACTTACTCAGACTTTTATTACTGTAGGTAATTACTTAACGAAGCTTCACTGCAATCCAAAAGCCTAAAACATAAAATTTGAATTTCTGACTTAGATCAACTGGGTCACTTAAAAGGTAAGATACGCAAAACTAATAACAAAATATCCTCAGAATTATATTAAAAATCATATTTCTGTGCAATTCTTAACCAAGTTTGAGTTAAAAACATCTGACGCTTTTAATTTTTATGTTATACCAGAGCAGACCAGTATTTAACAAGTAACTGTAAACTTTTCTAAACAGGTCAGCAGTAAATATGTTTTGTCTGGCTTAAAGTCATACTGACACTATTTAGGTCATACATACTTTCCAGCTATATTGGTGGAGGAAGACTTTAAGAACTACGACCTTTAATAACCTAGCTAGTTTTCACATATAAAAGAATCCTAAGTCCTTAGTGTGAGTCAAACCTACAGTGGTTAGCAGTAAACCTTTTGAACCTAACAATCTTAACACTTGGTTAAGGAGGCCTCAAAATGTCAGTATAGGATGTGTCTTTAGGTGTACTGTTAAAAGTGGTGACATGGCCTTGGACAAGTAATTTAAGGATTGCTGACCATGTGAGTTCAAACTGTGGGGCAAACCATTGTTTCTTTGGGCAAGAAACTTTACATTTATTACTTAGTACTGGTTGGTTACAGGAATGGATTTGAGTGTTTCATTAAGCTTATAGCTTCTAACACAATTTAACTAAAATAAATGTGTATAAACTAAAAGGTTATAAGGGTACCTCTGTACTCAAACTCTGATCTCTTGTATTTGATTGTTCAGAAACCAGCACAGAATGTACTGACCAATCAAGTCATGAGATTAGAGACAAAGTTCACCTCTGAAAAAAGGTTTTATAATCTTGAGACATGGACTTGAATATACACTGAGAGGTGGCCCTTCCCATCTTCATGTTATTTATAAAAAAAAGCGTTTATACAATCAGTTTAGTAGATTTTTAGAGTTTTCTGTTACCTTGAAATATTGGTAAAATGCTTGTTTGTCAGATTTCAATCTTCTGTAGTCAGCTTGAAATTGCACTGAATTCACTGGAATAAGGTTGTCTCGTGGAGATGTCTGTCCACCTCTAGAAGAAGCACTTGTATTACTGCCACTATAATTTACATTACCAACTTGCCGTGATTTGTTCACTGATACGTCCTTGGTTTTTGAGTTTGTTACAGCAGTTGGTTGATTTCTATCACCATTGGGTAAGTCTTTATCACATATAGTTTTCGTTTTATCACTGTTACTTTCTGAACAAGGGTCAGTATTAACAGAAGTGTTTCTAACACTGAGGGACGTAATATCTGCTGGAGAATTAGCAGTGAACCTCATAAAACTATCCCCTTCTTTCTCTACAATATCTCTCTTAGCCTGGCTCTGGGAAGCCTCAGCTTTAGCCACAGCAGATCTTATATCAACTTCATCCACTCCTACTTCCTCTATAGTGATTCTTCTTAAAGGTTTCTGGTAAAGATAAAATAAAACAATGTATCAATCTTTTATTAATTTGTACAGCAGGATCTGTATATAGGATGCAATCTATAAAATCATGCAGTTTTTCCCTAAAATTTAATTTACATCAAGTCGTTCTTCCCCCTTTTGCAAAATCACTGTGTTATTTTTCACAAAATTTAAGAGTACTACAAGTTACAACAGTACAACTGCCTATCATCTAATCTGGTAATTGTTTGTTTATTTGTTTGATTAGGTTTTACATCACACCGACACAGTATAGGTCATATGGCAACGTTCCAGCTTTACTGGTGGAGGAAGAGCTCAGGTGTCCTCTTGTGCATTATTTCAGGCAAAACTGGGCACCTGAGTAGATCCATCGACGTTCCGTAAGCTAGCTGGATAGCTTCCTCACATGAAAGATTTGAACCCACAGCGTTGAGGGGCAAGCGGTTTGAAGTCAAGGACCTTAACCACTCGGCCATGGACGCCCCTTATCTTGTAATTAATTTCCTTTCTTTAATAGAAGTGAGATTTACATTTGTAATTATTATCTTTCTCATAATTCATAAGTTCTAATAACAAACTATAAAGTGACACATCAACACCAGGGATATGTTTTTTTATTATTTACCAGCATTTTAAAGTTGAAAAAAAAACTCACATGTTTCACAAATTTGTGGCCAACATGTCAATTAGAAAAACCTATCAGTGATATTTTATTTATGTATAATTATCTTTAAGCATTTAAGGGACATGATTCAAACAAACATTACATTGTTATTTTAATAGGTTGATGTTTTTTTCAGCATGTTTATTAAAAAAGAACATCCGTCCTGTCTTAACAGATAGTAAGCTATTGTAAACTAACGCATGTTTTCAGACTAAGTTCCAGCTATATTCCCAAAATTTCTGCCAAATGATCTGTATGATTATTTTTCCAAAGCCAGGGTTGTAACAATAAATTTGTAACAGAATTAGAAGTTTGACATCCATACTGGTAGATCTAATATGCTATATTTCCTGCTAACTTGGCCAATTGAACAAAACTGTGAAAACAATATATTAAACTTACCTGTGATCTCTCACTAGGGGCTTTGGAGATTGCTTTAACTATACCAAGGTTAGGGTTGGCTGCTGTGTCTGAATGTGTGACAAGTTTTTCCTTTGCTAACTCCTACAAACATAAAATACCATGTATATCATACTATATTGAATTCATTAACTAGAACTACCACTAAATGTGATTAATACCCAGCAAGACTGCTTCGGAAATGAGGATGTTACTAGTAACAGAATACCTTGTAAAAGAATTGAAATAGAGTTATAGTTGTGGGCAATTTAAGATAGTTGTGGTTCTTGTATGATGCATTTCCTTTTAATGTGGTTGGCCATTGATGAAGTTTTATTAAATTACTCTGTAATAAGTCCAGAAAGACAAGGAAAAGGAACAAAGGGCAATAACTCTATAAATACTGAAGATGGAGTTATGGTTATTATACACTGCAATTCCTCTCATTGCGTTTGACCATTGTATGAAGTTGTATTGAATTCCAACTAGTAGTTTTCAAGTTATGCTCTGGACAAGAAAAAAGCAATGAAAAAGTAGCAAAGGGCAATAACTCTATAATTACTCTGGACAGAGTTATAGTTCTTGTGCACTGCACTTCCTCTTATTGTGCTTGACCATTGTATGAAGTTGTTTGAATTCCAACCAGTACATTTTAAGTTATGCTCTGGACAAGGAAAAGTATCAAAGGGCAGTAACTCTGTATTTTGTCAAAATGGAGTTATGGTTCTTGTGCAGTGCACTTCCTTTTAATGTCCTTGACAACTGTATGAAGTTGTATTGAATTCCAACCAGTAGTTTTCAAGTTATGCTCCGGACAAGGAAAAGTAACAAAGGGCAATAACTCTGTAATTAGTCAAGATGGAGTTGTGGTTCTTGTGCACTGCACTTTCCTCAATATACTTGACCATTGTATGAAGTTATATTGAATTCCAACTGTTAGTCTTCAAGTTATGCTCTGGACAAAAGAAAACAATGGAAAAGTAACAAAGGGCAATAACTCTGTAATTACTTTAGATAGTTATGGTTCTTGTGCCCTGCACTTCCCCTTATTGTGATTGACAATTGTATTAAGTTGTTTTGAATTCCAACCAGTAGTTTTCAAGTTATGCTCCGGACAAGGAAAAGTAACAAAAGGCAATAACTCTGTAATTAGTTAAGATAGAGTTATGGTTCTTAAGCACTGTACTTCCTCTCAATGTGCTTGACCATTGTATGTAGTTATATTGAATTCCAACCATTAGTATTCAAGTTATGCTCCGAACAAGGAAAATGCAACAGACGGCTGGACCGGCCGACCAACCGACCACCGGGTGACTCCTATATACCCCCCCAAACTTGGTTTTGGGGGTATAATAATTTTACAATATTAATATAGTTCAACAATCAATGCAAGTTCAGTTTTAAGGTTTGTTGATATAAACCATGGTTAACCCTCACCTACCTTCATCAGAGCTTGAAAATAGTTTCATTACTTATACTTTTAAATCTACATCAGAATTAATTAATAAACAATAAACAATTACATACTTTTACACTCTTTTCATGAATATGTTATTACACAGGCCAATACAAGAATATTTTTTCTGGACAAAACAATTCAGGATATCCCTTTTTATCTAGATCTCATACAATAGACAATCTCAACAGAACATTCATGAATTTGCTGTTAAACAAGCCAAAACATACATGTTCTATTCATGTCATCCTTGCATTGTCCAAAATATTCATATGGTAATTACTCCATCTTAAACTTGTGATATTTTTCAAAATTTCTTCACTGTGTAAGGAATATCTAACTTGTGTTGATACAACTAGATTTAAGAATGCACTAAAATGTTTTATATTTCATTTTTATGTAAATTTTACTTCTCTCAAAACACAAGTTTACATTTGCATTCTGACACCAAATGCAAAATAGTATACTTTACAACATCAAAATGTACCAAATTTACAACATCAAAATGTTACAGTAATTGATTTTCAATCCGATAAAGAGTTTTATTCAATTCTGATTACTGAAAACATGAAATAAAGAATATTTTGTTTGGCCAAATGATAAAACTAATCCATAACATCAATATTTTAAGTACAAAGTCTGTACAGTATAAATATACTGATAATGTATGAAACATTTACCTTTTCTATCAATTCAAGATCTGATTTAGCTTTCTTATTCTGTGGTTCCAACTGTAGTACTTTCTCAAAGTCTAATTTTGCCTCAGTGTACTTTTTCAATCCTAGTCTAGCTGAGGCACGTCTCAAGTAAGCTTTTGTATACAGGGGATCTAAGGTCAAGGCCACTGAACAATCAAGTTCTGCTGCTCCAAACCTGCATGAATCACATTTTTTACACACATTTGGATATAATTTTTTAATACATATTTTATCATACTTATCGTAGAAATTTTATTTTTTTCAACAAATATCATACTTTGAAAATCTTACACTGGCTGATAATATTATTCTTGCATATCAGACTTGTGTTTCCGTAAGTTTTACCCGTGCCGTACATTTCTTCTGGAATGGGGAGTGCTATACAATGGCATGCATATGATGACATAATTTTGCTGTTATGAATGGAGTTGTAATTTTAAACCCAGTTGTAAGAAAATAGTTACGGGTGTAATTACATAAATTTCCATGAAAAAACTGTTTTCTGAAGGCAAAGAATTTAAAATATGATGGAATATGGTAGAATACGCAAGAAAAAATATCTGACATACGTTTTTGGTTTGGATTGGAATATCCGTCCATCAGGAACCTGCCTCATGGGGACGGATAGACCTATCCAAACCGCAACATATGACAGATATTATCATTTTTGCTCACAAACTATATACTTTTTCATTATTTCTTTTTCGCAACTTTTACATAAACCTAAATAAACAAAGTATTGATTTTTAGCCAAAATACTTGCATTTCCTTCTTCTACCAAAGGCTTTATAAGCCAGAGCTCCAGATAATTTTTTGGGCCGAGGGGTTTTTACCCCTCAAAATCTAGAGTGAGGGGTAAAATGCAAATTCTGAAAAACTTAAGGGGTAAAATCTGTCAAAAAATGCATTTTGCATTTTTTATTAACAAATTAAACTTACAATATTGTTTTTGTTTGTTTGTTTTCTTTTTTAAGAAAAATGAAGGAGTAAATGACTCCCAAACTTCCACTAGTGGTAGTCAAAATATATTGACGTGCCAAAGCTTGATTCTGAGATATTTTCGTTCTGGGGCAGAATCTCGCTTTAAGAGGCGAGATATTGCCCAGACACGAAAATAGCACAATATCTCGTCGCGCAGTACAATTAGTTGGACTACCACTAGTGGAAGCAATGAAATTATTTTATATTATAGGAGTCAATATTTTTCCTTCTTTAGTTCTGTTGGCATGTACCTTATCATGCACTCCAATTTGAACAATTATAGTTGAATCAAAGAAAATTAAACAAGATTTTTTTATCTTTCCTTAATAAAAGCATTGGTCTGAAGAAAATTGTACGTAACTGTAGACTGGGTACGAAAATATTGAGTACAAAACTGCAAGTGAAAAACATGTTTTTTGTTCCAACAACAAAAGTAAAAGAAATTAAAATATTTTGTTTATATTGAGGCATGAGCATGTCAATACATGTAGATGCCTAAACAAACAATACTATGTTAACTCCTACGATGATTAGCTGGCACAAATTTTATCAATTATTTCACAGGTTGATCTACGAGAGTTATCTCCCTTCTGTACTTCCTGTTACTTTCGTTTTTAACATGCATTGTTGACAACAGAATTTTTAGTTTTCAAAGCAATAAAATGGAAATATATTGATTTTTATGCTCAAAACATCCTCTTTCTAAATATCAAATGTTTACACTTCTATTCTTTCACGCTTAAATTTTGACATACAAGCGTATTTTCATTTTGTTGTGCGTAACTTTGACGCACGGATTTTGAAAGTGATGCGTATTTTAGATTTTCTATGCGTATTTTACGCTGATACGCACGCTATCTGGAGCTCTGATAAGCATAATAACATAAAAAAAAATCAATTTTAAATACTTGTCCTGTTTAAGAAGTGCCATAGCTCTATTAGCAGGTAGCAGTGGATTTGTTGGATCATAGTCAATTCCTTTTGTGTAGCATTCTATAGCATTGGCATAGTCCCCCTTCTTGAAGTATTCATTACCCTACAAAATTAAGATATGCAAATAACTGTAGAACATAATTATACATGAAAATCTATAGTAGGTGATCTCACTTTGAAAAAGTGTACTTGTAACTTAACAATTTTAAAGCAAAAATAACTTGTTGAAGATAATTTTTGGCCATATAATCACCTTATCTTTTTCAAGAACTGCAGCTTGTTTCTTCCGTTCTGTCTCCCACTCCTCGTCTGTTTCATACTCGCCATCAGATGATTTGTCACTGTTACTTTCACATGCCTTGTCCTTCAATATACATACAGATTATGAATTAAATGCTCAGTCCTCAAAAAAGCAATTATAGCAAAAATACATAAGTTATGTGAATGATTCCATTGAGTATAATTATATACAATGTAATAAAATAAGAATCTTACTCTGACTGCCAGTACAGACTGGCATAACTGACTTGAGGCAACTCTTTTAGAAGGTAACAAGTCACTGCTAAGTTTCTGATAGTTACCTAACAGCTATATAATTTATGATCTAATACCTTATTAGAAATATTTAACTCGACAAACTTCTTCACAACATCATATCATATTAAAGTTAAACTGTTTGCAGTCTTGTTATGGGCATATCATATATTCCTTTTGTATATTTGATATATTTGAATTATGTCCAACTTTATATATGGACCTGTCATGTCAAAATATTAAAGGATTCCAAAATCAAAAGTGCAAACTAGAATCTATGTACAGCTTATTTACTATATGTATAAGCATAGAGTCCAGTTAGACTATAGAGATATGCAAACTAGCCATGCAGATGTATTTAGGTGGAATAAGAAGTCATTGCTATAATTCATTCATTAAGATAAACTTCAGTGACAACATACAACATCAAACTTGTCCCAAGATCTGTAATCATAACTGCTTATTCTCTTTGGTTTACTGTCACTTCCATCTTTTCTTTTCTTCACCTTCTTTTTCATTTTCTTCTTGTCCAGGCTGTTTCTCACTGGTGGTAATTTCTATAACGAATCAAAGAAAATATATGCATTCATATTTAATAATTTATAAAAACAGAAACATTTTTTGTCATTTACATTTAATTTTCCAATCAAACTGAATTTTTAGATAACTTAAAACAGTAAGTAAAGTACAGGGTTTTACATCTCTTTGAAATTTTAGGGGTCCAGTGGATGCACAGCCTAGAAAAGTAAGGGTCCAGGCCTGAATTTTAGGTGTCCAAAATTACAAATGTATTATCACTATAAAAGACTATGAAGACCTCTCTATTTTGCTTAAAATCATTTATTTACCCTGTAAGAAATATATGCATGTATATTGTACTGTTTTCATAAGAAGTATATGATTTCAATATCTTTTATCACTAGGTTTTTTATAGCCCTTTACAATAATATCATGTGCTATTTCCAAGGCTTATAAGTCTTTGTGTGGCTGGAATGTCAAGTTTTAGTAGCATATTTTGTTATTGATAAGGTGATTACACCAACAGACTGAAAATTTGCATTGATCTATTTGTAAATATTTTAGCTGAACTAGTGAACACAAAATAGATATCTTTACAGACCAGTCAGCTAAATATGTTGCGTTTTTAAAAATATCATATAACAAAAGGCCGACAAAACCGCTTTTGCACCTCCTCATAAGTTAAGTTCGCCGAAACCATTATATTTATAACACCAATGATAATAACATACCCAGTGACTTAATTTCTTTAACACTGTGAAAGTTTGCAAAAAGCACTGCTTTTTTATTATTGCCGTTCATGTACAAAATACATTCGCCGAACTGGTAGATCGACATTGGATACGCTTACCAATAATAATTGCTTGTTATAAATAGTCCGTCTAAATATAGCAACAGAAAAACCAAAAACAGCTACCTAAAATATATTTTACGGTAAACGTCATCAGTTACTGTAGCTTGCACGATAAACGTCATTAGTTTCTGCAGCGGGCACTTGCAAAGAGCATGCGCAGTTGATTTCAATTATGTTAAACTTCCGAAATAAACAAATGCAAGCATTTTCTGCATGCTGTATTAGATTTAAATGGAATTTTGTGAGCTTCGAGAAGAAAGAGATAAAATCATGTCGGGTCAGAAACAATAATTTCTATTGTCTAGGATTATTTTTGTGCGTACTCTTGGACGCAATTGGATAACGTATATGCGTACATGTCAAAATTTATGCGTATAGGGACGCAGAATTCTGCGTCCCGTAAAACCCTGAAAGTAGGAGTGGGATATAAAATTTTAACCCCTCCAAGTGTCAACTTATCCCTGACACAAAAAAAAGAACAACCTATCCCAACTGGCCAACACAATTCTACCTTCATGGAGTCCAATAAGAACCAATAACCTCTACTTAATACCTAGCATGGATCTTTTAAACACCTCTTTTTAATTTTCTTGCGATTTTGAATTTGGTGCGCAGACATGTCTAGTACCCTATGTCCCCAAGAAAGGGTCAACATTATTGGAAGATAGATCATAGATAGACTAAAATAGATTTATTTCCCGAAAAACTATACCTGTAAATTTCGGGGAAAAAAATGACCAATCAGATTACGGTTGTTTATATTTGTCAAGATGGCGGTGTTTTTATAGAAATGTCAACGGGGAAATATTCTGAAGCCGCAGGTGACTTTATATCACATTGTCATTATAGGTTATTGGAATATTTTGATTACTTTTATGTATTTTTAATTGCCCAGCATGATAAATGCTTGTGATATTTATAATCTCTAAAAATTGCAACAGTCGTCTAACTTTGTGTTTCCTGCGTAGCCACGATTGATGTCGACCTCGTGTAAATGAATAGTTTTTTGTTACCTTGGCGGCCAGTACTCGTGAAGTATAAGAGAAATAAGAAAAGTTTTACAATGGTTCGATAGATAAATTATTTGACTACATATAATATTGCTTAATTCCTTTTAATTTTTGCTGTTTTGTATAAAAAACTGTGAGGCAAAAACCCTGATTGGGCATAGACACCTTCTAATGGAAGTTGTTACCTGTCTATATATTAGTATATAGTGTAATGGGAATGGACTTAGAATTTATTTCTGACTTAGGACAGGTTCTTTCAAATAGAATAAATATTTTCTACCATCAAACACATATTTTGCGAACATTCAATGAGCCGTACCCCGGGGGGGGGGGGGGGTAAAAAAAAAAAAAAACAATGCCAAATAAAAGGCCAAGATTGGTTATGTTAGTGCAGGTTCATATGTTACCACTTACCATTTCTTCTGATGGCTTTTTACTTTTCAATTTGGAATCAATCTGTTTCATCTCCTGTTCCCAGTTGTCAAGATCGCCCAAGAAACTCTTCAAATCTTCATTATTTTGTTTCATCTGCAACTGAAGATTCAGCATTTTGTTTTCTTGCTCTGATATCGTAGCCATAACTGTTTATTTATGTTTCACTTTAAAGGTGATACTGAAAACAACACAATTTTAACTATTGATATTCTTGGTTGCTGTTCAGTGTTGAACGATGGGCGCAGACATGTTGGATTTGCAGGTTTAAATATCACCACCATACAGTTAAATTCAAGAACATTCGGTATTACGGAAAGTAACGGAGAAAGCCGATGTCGACACCGCCCTGTCCAACCGCCCTGTCCCAAACAACCGTTTACATAGAGCCACAAGTAAAATGGTTTCCTGCGGTGAACATTTTAATGATATAAAGATATTTCATTTAACTATTTTCAACATTATTAGGGGGTGGGGGATAAATAAACGTTTGTATCAGGAATATAGTTGACAATTGAATAAACGATCAATATAGAAGAAGGTCTTTGGAAACTGGTGACCGTTGAAGACCAGAGAAGGTCAAACATAAAACAATTATTTCTTTTTAAGACAATGATTAAATAGGCTTCCATTTTATGAATTATTCCGAGCAGAAATAAATAAAGTAAACACACAAGTTTACGCAGAAAATATCTTTATCTATTATGGCATATGCCACTACAAATATTTTTATTTTGTAGATTTTCAGTATAAACAATTTATTGTTTGTAAAATTTGAGATAGATATTAAAGAAACATTGATAATTTTCAAACACATCATTCAAGTTTTTCCACCTTAAACGGTAAAATAATTATAGAAAATTAGAAATATCACGCAATATTTTTTTGTTTGTTCTTAATTAGGTGTAATTCGGACTAATTCCCTACAGGTAAATCCGTAACGTACCGGCAAACGATATTTAGCTAGGTTTTCGAAAAGGTCAATTAACCAATCATGTACGGTTTACAGATCACATGCTCCTCCATGTACCGAAAACAGGTCACGTGCTCCTCCATGCCTCAAAAGTTAAACGCGTACCAATACCCTGCGGTCTCCAGGGAATGATACCTGACAAATATCCTGTTGTGTAACTGTCTTTTGTTTTTATATGTATAGTATATATCTTAATTAGTTGCAAAGGCGCATGATGGTTAGTTTTATTTGTTTTCATCATACACACATTATATGTATGTATACACGTACGTATCATGTAATAGGGGGTCGAACGTATAGCGGTGCGATACTCCTTTAAGCGAGGTGAATTCATGCGATAACGCCCCTAATGGCGGACGGGAGCAAAAACGAAAAGTGGGTATGAGCATAGTTTTTTTCCAAATATTTGTTGTCTATTGTAATCTTTTTTGAAGAAATAGCATTTGTGCATGCTGATCAGAACTTATAATTGTGCATGATTGTCAAAATAAAATACTAAATTTTATAGAATTGAGGAAGTTATTGAGGTATTTGTTGCTGCAAATTCAACCGTCAACCTGAATATGCACATGCAAAAGAATAATTTATCAGTCGTTTTAAAACGAGATATTCGATTAGTTTAAGTCCCAAAATGTTTATTTTTGAAAACAAAACGATATACAAGAGTAGTTTTCCATATCTGTCCGAAAATATATAAAATATTTCCAGTTTTCTTACTGTACGCCTAATATTTGGTCCGATAAACCAACTGTACGCACAAATGTTGGTATGTTTTTCTGTAGCATCTTCCTCAGGACAGTACATTTTTATTCAATATTGATGAAATATCAAGTTTTGAGTTTGTATGTAAATCATATGTAAATCACAGTGTCAATTTAAACAACAGTGTCAATTAATGTTTTATACTATGATATAGTTAATTTAAATATTCTTTTCTCACAAATGTTAATCATTAAAATGAGATAAGTTATTGCACAGAAATTTGAAATTCTATCAAATAATCAATATTAGTCACGATAATATTCGTTTTGTTTATTCCATTTATTCAGTAAAGGTTTTATCATTTAATAATACATGTATGTTTTTCTATTATAAATTACATATTTATGTTGTCTGAAAAAAAACTTTAATTAAAAAAGCAACATATCAGAAATAGATCAACTATTGTATTACATGCACTGGTCGAAAAACGCTCCCACCCATTCTTTATGTTCATTCAATACCTTTGAGAACTACATGTAATAAATTGTTTTTTTGTGGTTTTTTTTGTGTTTTTTTGTTTTGTTTTCTTTGCAATGGAACTTGAAATTTATGAAAAAATACTGGTTTGATTTCCTCTATTGATTGGATGTTATATATTATATACAGAGCACATCATTGTATTTCAGTTATTCTGATGTTTGCCATTAGCTCTGTCGCTTTGAATATATAACTATACTACTCCAAACCCAGTATATAACAAACAGCTTTGTGTATTTGCTTATGAAAGCATTCATACTTTTAGTGATTTAACATATCTGCCAGTAGTTTTACTTGAAAAACTAGGCTTTCTCTGCAACATTTAATGTATAGCATTACCCCTCACTTTTTTATAAATATTCATTTCCACTGGGAGTTACTCTTACTGTTCAAGCAAGTGCACCATGTGACTAAGAGATTGTACTGTTACAGGCCAACAGTACTTTTTAATAGTTTAAAATCTGGGCAAGTGTTTTTATGTAAATAAAAGTATTAAAGATTACAGTATCTGCTCGGGAAATAAAATAAATAACACACAAGCGTTTGTGAGTAACAGTAAAAATATCAACCCTCCTAAAGATACTGTTTCCCTCGGCTAACACCTTGGCTAACAGGATTTTCCTTGGGATGATATTTTAACGGTAACCCACAACCCATATTTTATTTATATACTACTCCATAAACAGTGTGACTCAATCTAATAATATATACTCAATAGCTTTTTGTTTATTTGCACATGTGTCAGCATTTGTACTTGTGGTACATTACCTATCTGGCAGTAGTTTTGTTTGTTAATCAAGTTGTAATGTTTTAATTGCTCTGCAACATCTACAACTGTGTATTTGCACATGTAAGCATCAGCTGTTCCTAAGAAAGACACTGAGCTGTTTGGAGTCCAATGACTGACTGAAGTTTGAAATTGAAGTTTTTTGTGCTTTTTCCTGACAGACAGGCCACAAGTATGTGCACTACAAAAATAGCCTGTTCTAAGCACATTTTAAAAAAAAGAATTTTTACCACCTAAAGATTTTTACCATCTGGTTTTCAGTCTCTAGCTCTAGAACAGCAGCGAAATGTACTTTCACTGTATTTTATAGGGTTGTCTGAAATGTTCAATTCTATTTATAATATGAAAAAATATCAGTTTGACAGCAGCATGTACAAAAGATCTTAGAACCTCATGAAGTAAACACACCCCTTATATCACATATTAACTGCTATTTTTCTGAAATGTTCTGCTTTGAAAGTGAGTTAAATTTATACAAGATTTCTTAATTGGTTTCTTAAATTCATTCTTACATATTTTTGGTCAAATTCCTACTTTTTATCTAAGATCTTAGAGTAAAGGTTACTTTTATCCAACTCCTAATTATTAAAGGATAAATATTATTTATTATTCAAATTTAAGTTCAAATACTTATATAGATGGTTATACAAAAACTTTTATTTCAAAAGTAAATCTTTAAGGAAAGAAGAAAATTTCAGAATTCCGGAAAAAGGGCAAACATATTTAGTCGATATCTGAGTAATAATCATAGGAAACATGTACCACAGATGTGATAATGAAAAATATCGAACCTCTAACAGCGTACAGTTATTTTATCGCACCAAAACCCAGCGTACACTTAAATATTTTGACCAGTAAGCGTCTATGTATATCGGAAGCACAAAGGTACTTGCTATACAACTCAATTATGATTACTCTTATAGAATAAAGAAGAAAAACAAATTAACTATATTAATATAAGCTTGCATTTAGCGATTTTATTCACCGACCCAAAATTAGTTGCCGTCAGTTTACCTTCAATAACTTTTTTAATTATGAATTTAGGCCTCTGTAATTTTGATGAAATGTGTGTCGGTCCTATCTTCACATCCTCAATACAAAATATGCAATTGTAATCGAAAAACTTAATAAAAAACACTCACTCTGACGTGTGTTTACACGGGTAAATCCGCCATTAGGGCGTATCGCATGAAATCACCTCGCTTAAAGGAGTATCGCACCGCTATACGTTCGACCCCCTGGGTAAAGAATGAACATATATTGTCACAGAATCAGTGTTTATTCTATTGAATACGAGGTTGTTTTCCTTAAATTGTTGTTTGCCATTTGTACGGTAGTTTAAGGGAAAATCATTTTAAAGCAGAACGGTTAGCTTCACCAGTAAATGCATGGTGTGTTATATTTAACGTTAATTATTAAGTGACAGTGAAACTTACAGAATGTTCCTCATTAATTAATTAAGGGAATCATTGAATACATAGTATCATGCACATTTTGTATTGAAATTAATACAATTACTCTTGATCACAAGTCATAAACGTCTTTCATTGTTAACTAAATATTTTCTAATTTAAAACACAATAATAAATCTCTGTTCATCATTAAAGGAACTCCACTGAGGTTTATAAGTAAATTGAAAATCGTATGTTTGTGCTATTCTCAGTCCGAATTGAGTGAAAAGCGTTTAAACGCTTTTCAAAAAAAAAATATTTTGAGTCATTTTTCACTATTATAATAATTATTCTGGAAAAACAGAGCGGCCTAATGATCTGAAATTTTGCACATAAGTTATTGGTATAGATCTTTATCAAATGGAGTATTCTAACACGACCCGCATTTTTACCTATTGAGCATAGAAGAACAGAAAGTGTGTGTTATTATGCAACAGATGCACAGTTTGACATTCTATATTTAGACATGTGACGTAATCATTATACACGTGACGTAACCACTAAAAATCCGATGCGCGGAAAATAAGTACGGAAACAAATCAGGCGCAATTTTGCTTATATATCAAGTACTGCAACATTTATTTGTTGATGTCGTGTTAGAATCGAAATAATATATCCAAATCGGTGATTTTATCGCTTGATAACATCACTGTTTGTCGTTCGGATGCGCATCATTATATCACTCGGGCTACGCCCTCGTGATATAATTCCTCGCATCCGAACTCCAAACAGTGATGTTATTGAGCGATAAAATCACTGTTTGGGATATATTATTTCTTAAATAATCTCAAAAAATTATTTCCTGTCCCGTCATGCATGTCCAAAAAACCCTCAGTGGAGTCCCGTTAATTTAAACTTGAAAGAGACTTAGATAGATCAATATCAGTGGTTACTTAGAACAAGCAGGGACATTAAAAAATGGGACAGATTCTTTTAATTTGTATAATATAATATTAAAATTTCATTTGTAAAATAATGATGACGCTACATTTTAACTAAAGTTGGTGCCATTTTAAACACAAATGTACATGAACAGCAGAACATAAATTTATTCTACTAAACTCCAGGGAAATGGTAAGAGAATGTTTAGCAAAGAGAAAGTTGAGGATTGGTTACTTTAAGTCGTAATTCATTTTTATAGTTTTATTAATATTTGCAAGAATGTCTAAGAATTTCTAAATTCCCTGTATCTACAGATGAATGATATTACCTTAGAGCTGTAAATTTAGCACTGTTTGCCATTCTTGTAAATATTGGTAAGTTGATTTATTTTTGTTAAAGGATTTAATTATATCTCCTTTGTTAACTGTTTGATTATACCTTAATCTATCAAATCCATTTAACACCATTTTTCAAATCCAATTACATCTATTATACCAGAACACCACGCTTTTTCTCTGTAATTTTAAACAAAATAACATTTTTAAAGTTTGTGCTCATCCATTCGGGGAAATTTTTGCCCCAATGGTAACGCCCTTTTATTGGGCAGCACAATAAATTGGGGAATTTCCCACACGCCCGGGTAAATATTAAAACATAACGCAAATGACTACCTAATCAAATACGTTCATAGCAGGGGAAAAGCATGGACGAGAAATTATGGTTTTTTTATACGAAACAAATAACGAACGGGTATTAACCGAATGGGAAAGAAGGCCCTAATAACCCTTTTCTCATCTTTAACGGGGCGCTTTAAAAATCTCCCCTGCTCCGATTTTAAAAAAAGGTTCCTAGTATTCTAATAAAATATAGGCCTATGCACGGTCTTTTGTATAAATGTGTGATATATTCAAGATTTGAAATTGTTAAACTTTTGCTAAAATGATTTGATTCATCAATATCAATTATACTATAGTAGTGTTCACCGTTAGATCTGTAGTAGAATGTTATTGGCTAAATATGCAGTAAAGAAAAAATAAAGACAAACACATTGACTACAACAAAAGATAAAATTTTATTTTCGTTCATAAAAGTTCAATACGGTATCATGATTTTGAAGAAAAAATCTTTTGTACAGCCTTATAAAAAAGTGGTTAAATATCACAAATACAAAAGATCACAGAAGTACAAAAAGTGAATAAAGCGAACATTTTGGTAACAATAATAATGCTGTCAAGTGTATATCATGCATAAAATATTTTGATTTATAGTGAAATACTGAAACTTTAATACAAATAAAAACGTGTAGAAATATTCGTAAACATGTTGATCGTTTTTGAAACCAAAACATATGGTATTTAAATTGTATAAAATTAAGTACAATAAAATCCGCCATCGTGTTTCCTTGAGTAACCGCCGTTGGTGCCAGCACTGTGAGGGCTCTCTGAGAATATAGAAGTGACAAAGATGGTGTTAACATCCGGGCAACTGACATGTATAGCACGTGCAAAGATCTAACTAATATGCGTGCGCAGAATACCACTACTGTCTGCTTCCGATGAACCATGAACGGTCTCTGTTTAACCAGACAAAGCGTATTCTGATTGTTAGTATGAAGCAACACAAAGACTAACTAATATTTCACATCTAAAACACCTTTCCAAATACAAAAACAACATTCAACAACTAACAACACTGAAATAAAATGCAATTAAGTTAGCACTAGCTCTTGGGGCAGTTATGCAAATGACCGTGCTGGATTCAAGCTTCTAAAAAAACAAAACAACACAGGGATAGCATGCAGTTAGTATAACAACATCAACAACAACAACAATTTATTCTAAATCCCTTCACCATCTGTTAAATACAACATAAAAATAAATACATCACGTGCGGTACAACATCAAGGGGGTGGGGCAGCATGCAGTTAGTAGGGGGTTTTCTTCACAATCTAGTAGTTTTAGCCTATTTCTGAATATATGGTACTTAAATATATATATTTGAACTTTCTCTTCATATCATCAGTCTACAAAATGAAATGCTTAATCTCAACACTATCTGGTTATATCATAATGCACTAGGTATGAAAAATAAAACTGCTAGGTCACACAGTTAGTAAAAATTATAATGATTAAATTCATGCAAAAGTTGTTAATAAATTTGTGTGCTATACATGTAATATGGTGAGAATGTCCACATTGGTTCCCGGAGCTTTACACTCTTTCCTCACAGTATTTGACAGCTGGTTCCTCTTAAAGAATGATTACAACTTCAAGGTAACACATCACATCACTTGTATGACACAAGTTTTCCAATGTCTGGCAGGATTATCGCTACATATAAAGTTATACTAAATAGTACTTAATATTGTAAGATTTACTTATGTTTAAGATAACAATTTTAATTGGTAATACTTTAGGCTTATTAATTAACAAAGTATTAAGCTAGTAAATAAATAAATAAAAATTCAACAGTACTCCAAACATTCTGACAATTCTGATAAAATACATAACTGAAAGGCATACAAAATAAAAGAATTCAAAGTTCTATTCTTGATTTTTAAGAGAAAAAAAACTGTAAAAATTATCACAATTTTAAAACATGATTTAGTCAGCAAAATGCTAATACTGCTTGGAAACTTAAGTCTTAGTAAATATTTTCTTTGTATATCTTGCATAATACTATATATATGGGTATATTTGTTAATACTAATGATAAAACAATAGCTGATCTATTACAAATTCTTGCCATTAATTCAAAATGATCTGAGATATCCTGCATAAGATATTTAGATAAAAATGATATAAAATTTATAAAAAAATGTTAACATATAAAGGTATAAAATTCTATATAAAAACAACAACAACATTTTTATATTTCTTTTTTAAATTCTCATAAATTAAGATTAAAATGTGGTTTATTTTCTAATACTGTTCTGAACTTCAACGTTAATTTTATTTCGTGATTTAATAGATATGTTTGTTTTTGATTAAACAAAAAATTTAGTCATTGCTTTTAACATAAAAATAAAAAAAATAATGCATTCAGTTAATCAGTATACATTACACTAGCAATGAATACCAGTTACACAGTATCATTTAACAAAAGATTATACATTCTTCTCACAAGTGTCTAAACAATATATACATGAAACAAAAAAACTTTAAAGTTAAATACCTCCAAATTAAGAATACTTTTCCAAATTAAGAATACTTTAAAATCATCTAGTACATGCAAAATGATGCCCTTTTCTAAATCATTGTATTTTGATCTTAAAAATTATTTTGTTCACTTAAAAATGTATGTACATGTACTTATTCTAAAAAAAAACCATGATAAAAAAAAGAATAGAAATGCAGTAGAGAAAAACAATTTATGAGGTATTCTACTGTATAACAGTTATGCATTTATCTACTAAATAGTAGTACAATTTTATAATTCATTGCTAAGCATTAAAAACATTTTTTTCTTATTTCAACATTTATATTGATATTAATCAGGAGGTATCTCCCTTTAAAGAGGAAGTCTTATCACAGGTTGTAGATTGTACTGCCACCAAATTTCCATGGTGACACTCACAGGTAGCAGGAGTACAGAGGTGACCTAGAGAGACCATTTTAACACATTGAACAAACATAATTATGATGAGAAAAATCCACCGTCAGGTTTTCTAGAGTAGCCATGGTTTGTTGTCTGTGTATGGTGAGACTCTGAAATGTCAGCAAAAATGAAAATGTCAGCAAAATTGAAAATGTCAGCAGAAAACGAAAATGTCAGCAAAAATGAAAATGTCAGCAAAAACAAAAAATGTCAGCAAATTGAAAATGTCAGCAAAATTGAAAATGTCAGCAAAATTTAAACACACATATCAGCAAAATATGTAACCAAAATGGAAACACACAATCAAAGTCCAAATCTCAGCCCATTGAAAAATAAATACTTAATATTAGTTTTGGGATGTTTTTTTTTCATTATCAGTTCTCAAGGAGAGAAAAAAAATCTGTTTACAACTTATTATATTTATAGATCATAGTTATATGTACATATACTTACCAATAAATTGAGGTATTCATTAAAAAAAATGTACCATTTTAATTCAATTGAATAAAGTTTATTCAATTAAATTGAAATGGTATATTTTTTTAATAATTACCTCAATTTAATATTAAACCAATCTATTCTTAGTAAAAATAACTTTATCTTAAAAACAAATTTGTGGTAAAATTCAAGTTAACATACATGTATATATGATTCAACCAATTTTAAGCCTTCAAGAAATTAACACATAATAATTCTTTATCTTATGCATTCTATTGTTATAATGACATTTTAAATAGTCCTTGTTTTCAATGTTTGGTATACAAAATTAGGATAATCTGTCTGCTTGAAAGCCTGAAATAATCTTAAGGTATAAAAGCAACATATATTCATCCAACAAAAGGTAATCTTAGCTTGTCTTCTTATCTTTTATACAAGTCCATGCATGTCTTCAATTACAAAACTGATATCTTATGGTCATTTCTTTATATTTATCTATCATAATTATGAGGTTTTAAGTCTACATAAATATATTTCATGCTTCCATGTTAGCTAAATTTGAATTACACAATCTTCAATGTATCAACATTATCCAGGGCTGATTTTTTTTTTGTGATATCAAGTTATTGTTAACTGTTTTCAATAGTGATAATTCAAGTATTTATCATTTTTCTCAACTCTACAGCATTCCTGTTCTTGGCAACTATTTAAATATGTAACATACAAATGTACATGTATTCTTAATATGAATTACAAATATTTATGAAAATAATTATAATCATATGGCAGGTCTCTTGATATTTTACTTTACAAGTTACTAATTTAGCAACAGTAGAAAATTAAGCACTTACCAATTGCATTTTTAATACTATGAATGCTTTCTCTTTTCTTCTGGACAGATATTTCTATAGGATGACCCATCTTTGGTGGTACAACAGGCACTTCTTTCACTCTGTTTTTCAAGATGCGACTGATGAAATGAAACAATGAAAACTTTTTTGTAAATAAAATTTACTCACAAAAGTTGAAGTAAAACAATGCTATATCAATGAGAAACACTTGCATTGATATATATACATCTTACCTAATTGATCACGGTTTTAAGTTGGATTAATATTTAAATAAACAGGACAATTAATGCCACTGTTTAATAGCATCTACCTGAAAGTCTGCAATAAATAACCTAACTTAAACTTAAATTTTCAATTTTGAAATGTCATAATACATAATATTATCTTGCAACTGAAGATCAAAGAATGTAAAAATTCCCTTCTTTTGTGGCTAATAGTTAGCATGAATACCCATAGTCAGATATTTGACAATCAAAAATTCATTAAAATCTCTGAAATTTAAGTGTATACATGTACCTCCCCTGACTTGCCTATAACCACAGAACAATGCTTTTAAATGATTTGCCTAAATTGTAATGATAATACATATTCATAAATACACAAAATATGCATATAAATATTCATAAAATATTATTATAATATTACCCATGGTCATCAGTATAAGTCTCTGGCTGATACATTGTTTCATGTCTTGCCCTAAGAAATTCATTATGGTGATCATATTGAGATTTTAGGACAAAATCCAAGCTATCTCGAGGTTCCTGTGGATCATTATGATAAATTTCTCTCCTAGATGATGCCAGGGTACATTTTGTATTGAGTCTATTCCAGGGATCTTGTTTTTGTGCTAAATGAGTTGGTTCATTATATGGGTATTTCTGAAATAGAAAAACAAAACATATAGAAAAACTAAAATACTTCTTCAATTTTCAAGTTTTGTTTCTTGCAATTAAAAGAGATATGTTTTTATCACATGTATTTGAATGTACATATATCATTATAAGTTCAGTGGTTAACCTTTAATTCAATAAAGGCTAGGAATAATTTGCAGCTTATCTTTCATTTTAACAAACTGTTTCAAGTAAATGCTAGCTAAATGCTTGGGTGTTATAAATGTTTTATTTTTAACATGGTAAACAATATTTTAGCAGCAAATGTAAGAGTTGACTGATTTTATAGCAAGCTCGACGAGCTGGCCGAAGGGCCTGCTCGCAAAGCTAGCTTTACAGTAACGCGAGTACCTGCTAAGTGATGGTTTTGAAAACTTTCATACGAAGTACCAAATTGGACACATCGCAACTTTTCGAATTACAAGATAACGATAAAAGCCGATGTACTCTGATTGAAAACGGAAGCGTAGACTGGTGTCCTGCACACTTATATAGAAACCATACCAGAATAAACGGAATCAGTCTATAAAATACCGAATGACAATTTTAAAACGGAAAATGTAAAATAAAAATGAACAATTATTTTAAACTATCTTACGGTAAAAGAAAATCGAGCTCGCTTTGCCTTTTTGATATTATAGCCCCATTGCAAGTAAGACAATAATACATGAAGTATTGACACAAGAGTCATCCATTTGCCAAATAAATAGATCTACAGTACAGTAGATCTACATGAATCTATTGAATTTCTCTTCTCTACAGAAATTCAGAATTCAGATAACAAATTGGCTTTCCAAACAAATTTCTTAAAACATAAGAATATTCTGAACATACCTGACTTGTTCCTGATCCATAAAAATTTTGATCATTCTGTAATTTTGGAAAAGGGTATGGATCCCTGGATGACAGCAACTTTGCCTCCATGTTTACCTGTTGTGATGCGTCGCTCCCAAAAACCGGATGTTTACAATGCCCTTAGTAACAAAAAGTTGTAGTCTCTAAGAAAAGTACGTACTAAAAAAATAAGGACATTTCCAAAAAAATGAATTGTCTCACTACAAAAATGATTTATTTTTAAAATTAAATATTAAAAGATAAGTTTTGTCAAAATAATATATTTTTAAATATTGATCATTTATAAGTTATAGAGATTTTCATTCAAGCAAATTTTGCACCCAGATCAAGAAAACGCTTGACCCGGAAGTAGTTGAATAATCTCAATTTTGTAAGCAAAAAGAAAGTAAAAATGCGAATTCTCGTAAAAGTACTCAAAGGGTCTGAATGTGCAGTTTCGGTAAGTATGACTTAAAGGGAACTTCAAATTTTGATTCCTTAACTGGCATGAAATTTTTGAACTCGTCTGATTCAAGAACATCGATAATTTACAGCTAGATCTACGTCACTTTTTTGTCGTCGTGTTTTGTTTAACAGTTTAACAGTGTTTAATGCCGTACGGACCCGTATTGTTAGTCAAAAGTTCTAGTCGTACGTGAGTCACATATGACTAGCCTTAGTCCAATATATCAGACATTTTACGGCTGATTTCAACTAAATTCTAGCTGATTGTTTGGTCACCATTATTTTGACATAAACAAAAGAAATACAAATGCAACAGGCGAAAATTGTGCATACATGTTTGAAGATTGGGCCAGCATTTTGTTCATGTGACAAAAATTGTAATTGAAGTGTTTTATAGCTCATCTTATGAGTGGAAATGTACTTTTTCTTATCTGTTACATGGTTATACTTCTGTTTTTGTAAATATTTAGAGGAATATTAAGACTGGAATTGAGAAAAATGTATGTGATAGGGGTGGGTAGACAGACGTTTCACTATTGAGACGGTTCAAACCAAGACGTTTCACTCCAAAATAGGAGTGAAACGTCTTGAAGAAGTTTCACTCCCTTTTTATGCCAAAATTATTTTGATACTTATGATAAACTAAAATAGACCTAAAATATTGAATTGAATTGAACTAATATAGACCTTAAATTAATTAAAATAAATTAAAAAGGGGATTTCACTTTTTGTCAATGACTAAAAACTCAGTACTTTAAGTTCTATCATTTCAGATCTTTTGTAAACATGGACTCAATAGGCAAATTTAATTTAAAGCATAACAATTCTGTGACAACAATTAACTTTGAGTAACGTGTTTTTTTTTGTTGTAACGTTAATTATGCCCCCGCCATATATTGGCAGGGGCATATAGTGTTACCCTGTTCCGTCATTCCGTCATCATCAGTTTCCGTTCATTATCTTAATAACCATTGCACATATTGAACTCAAATTTGACATATAGATACAGCCTAACTTGCCCATGCGACCACGTGTATTAAGCGACTTTTGTCTTAAACGACCACTTTAAATTCCCCCCGATCATTTTCTCTCTATATCTTTAATGTATTAAGCGACTCTTGCTCAACGCGACCAGCGACCGCTAATTGGTAACCTAATTGACATTAATCTTTTCATTAAACGACCACTTTTACCTGTCAAGTAATTGTTTTTAGAGAACGCCACCTCGTTATGTCACAAGTGTCAGCAATCAAAACACAACAATAAACGTGTGAAAAACTCTATTTCCCATACCGCTTTAGCGTATGCAAATGAAGTTAAGTATACGCGTGACGTGTATAATCCAATAATATCGGATAAACAATGCAACGCTCCGCCCATACTGAGATGGTGTATACGCTTCGCTTGTTGACATTTAGACTGCATTGAATTGACCTTGAACTTGATCAGCCATTAAATTAATCGTAACAAATAGATGTAGTTTGTTTATTTCAAATGGAAAAATGCACAACAGAAAACATCTTCACTAATAGGGTTTTCGTGTTGGAGACAAGGAAAAACAACGGAGAAGTTAAAAAATTCTGGAAAAAATGTCAAACATGTACGTAATGGATCAAAACTGTTTTGTCAATAAATATCAGAACGTTATTTTTACATTTGCATCCGTTTAGATTGTCGGAGCGTACTTATTATTCAACATTTATATAAAAATGGAGTTGAAAAACAATCCCATCGAATAAAAAAGATGTCATTTATAAATTTTGACTTTTATATCATGCTGACTTTCTTAAGAGACCGTTTCATTAAGGGACCGTTTTTGGTGTTTCCCTTGCCCGGTCGCTTAATACACGTTTGACTGTATGTCATGAGAAAATACAGGTCAAGTTCGAAATTGGTCATGGTTCGATGATTTTTGGCAGAGTTATGCCCCTTTTACTTTGAAAATAATATGAAATTTTCAGTTTCCGTTCATTATCTCCCAACGGTACAACACATTCAACTCAAACTTGACATATGGATACTTCAAAGGAATGCGCAGGTCAAGTTCAAATTTGGTCATGGTTCGATGATTTTTGGCAGAGTTATGCCCCTTTCACTTTGAAAATAATATGAAATTTTCAGTTTCCGTTCATTATCTCCCCAATGGTACAACACATTCAACTCAAACTTGACATATGGATATGTCATGAGAAAATACAGGTCAAGGTCGAATTTGGTCATGGTTCGATGATTTTTGGCAGAGTTATGCCCCTTTTACTTTGAAAATAATATGAAATTTTCAGTTTCCGTTTATTATCTCCCCAACAGTATTACACATTCAACTCAAATTTGACATATGGATACGTCAAAGGAATGCGCAGGTCAAGTTCAAATTTGGTCATGGTTCGATGATTTTTGGCAGAGTTATGCCCCTTTCACTTTAAAAATAATATGAAATTTTCAGTTTCCGTTTATTAGCTCCCCAACAGTATTACACATTCAACTCAATTTTGACATATGGATATGTTTTTGGAATGCGCAGGCAAAGTTCGAATTTGGTCATGGTTCAATGATTTTTGGCAGAGTAATGCCCCTTTCACTTTGAAAATGATATGAAATTTACAGTTTCTGTTCATTATCAACCCAACAGTGTTACATATTCAACTCAAAATTGACATATGGATATGTCAAAGGAATGCGCAGGTCACGTTGGAATTTGGTCATGGTCCGATGATTTTTTGGCAGAGTTATGTCCCTTTCACTTTGAAAATAATATAGATACATCTTAGGAATAAGCAGTTTAAGTTTGAATTTGGTCGTGGTTCAATGATTTTGGACAAACTTATCTTTCCTGAATGTTTGAAAAATTTTGAACTTTCAGTTTCAGCACTCATACTTTTGTGGAAATGTATATAGCCATTATTTTGGCTACAAATATGCAATATGCTATTTTCAAAAGGTTAAGACTGAATAATTTCAGTGCCTTGAACATTGTATAAAAATGGTTTGTGATAAAATTGAAAAGTTTTAAGGGCTTTGAACTTAAAATGAAAAAAATAATTTGTGCAAACAAATTTGGAACTAAATATTATAACATTTGAAATTTTGGCTGCATACGGGGGCATCCGTGGCATGATGACACATTTCTAGTTTTAAACATGGGATAACAGATTGTTAAATTATTTAATGCTTGTATAGTGCTTTTGCGATATATGTCAAAAATTTTAATGGCCATTGAAATCAGAAATTAGAAGCATTGGGACTTTTTCAATATTTTCATTTTGATATCTCAAAGGCTTTTTGAGTTATGCTCTGGACAAAAATTAATTTTGAAAAATAACAAAGGGCAATAACTCAAAAATAATTCAGGGTAGAGTTATCATTCTTAAGCACTGCACTTCTCCTCAATGAGATCCATCCACCTTTGAAGTTTAAAGTTGATACCTCAAATACTTTTTGAGATAAGCTCTGGACAAAATAGCATGAAAAAAAAAAAGGGCAATAACTCAAAAATTGTATAGGGAAGAGTTATCATTCTTGCGCACAACATTCCTCCTCAATAAGATCTATCCACCTATGACATTTCATGTTCATATCTCAAACACTTTTTGAGTTATGCTCCACTCAGGTGAAAAATTAGGTATGAAAAATAACAAAGGGCAATAACTCAAAAATTATGAAAGGTAGAGTTATCATTCTTGTGCACTGCACACCTCCTGAGTGAGATCTATGCACCTATGAAGTTTCATGTTAATATCTCATAGGCTTTTGGAGTTATGTTCTGGACAAAAATCAATTTTGAAAAATAACAAAGGGCAATAACTCAAAAATCATGCAAGGTAGAGTTATCATTCTTGTGCACTGCACTCCTCCTCAATGAGGTCTATCCACCTATGAAGTTTCAAGTTGATAACTCAAATACTTTTAGAGATATGCTCCGGACAAAAATGTCGGACGGAAGGTCGGACGGACGGACAGAGACTATTTCTATATCCTCCGAAATTTTTCGGCGGGGGATAATAACAGCACACTTACCAATGTATGTGCGACCGTTGATAAAAATAATTTCAAACACTAGATTAATTTACTCATCTGAATAATAGACAATTTTCATAGATAAAATGTTATTAAAATACTGCTTTTCTATTGTACAAATTTTTTTTTTCAAACACTTATATTCTATAAGAATTTTTTTTATCAATGAATCTATTATATGTTATGGATAAACAGGTCAGTACAATCTAAATTTTATTTAAAAAATATAACTGCCATAAAAAGTTATTAAGGACGTTTCCGGGAGTTTTCATATAGACATATAGGCAAAATTAAAACTGCTCAATAGAATTTCTTGAAACTTGGCATGATGTTAGAATATGATAACAGAAACATTTTAAGCGAAAAAAAAAATTGGGGTCACTCACTCACAGTTCTCATTTTTGAGTTGTCTGCCCCTGAATCAGAATTTCCTTCTTATTTGAGGCCATTTAAAGGACAGATAACTTATAAATACTTAAGTGAACTCTTGTTTTTACTTCTGGATAATGTTTATCTTTTGATTGTTGAATACCACGCCCGTTTAACTCACAACGAGTGAAAAATGTCCATCGGTAAAAATGTTGTGATCAACTTCCGTTCCTCGTTGTGAGCACCCATCTTTGACGTGTGACACGATAAACAAGGTGAGTTTTTCATAATTTTTGAAGATTACAGACATTTATGTAAAAATATCGGAATGCAGTTAGCTAGCGATGTGTTTTCCGAGTATGCACATGTAAAGATATTGCCTGTTGGTGGACAATTTGATGGAAATACCGTGCCACGCAGTCACTCGGGGTAGCCGGAAAACTGGAGACAACTTCTCTTTGGACCTAATTTAACATTGAAAACGTCGATTTTGGTGACGTTTTGTGCATTCTAACCTAAAACAGATGCCAACAAGTCTTCAGCGTAAATTATTATCTGAAAGTCTTGGTAGAAACGAAGATATACTCTTTTTTGCCTTAATCCTCGTTGTGAGCACCATAACAATACAATACATAATTACATGCAATTCCTTATATCGTTTCTGTACTTTAATTCATAAAAAAAGGCCAATTTTTAAGAAAAAATGCATAGGTTAAAAGAAGAAGTGGGAAAAAAGACTATCCACTCTAAATTTGTTCTTGAAATTTTGCATATTGACTAAAACTAAGGTAAGCGTTATGAAAATAAGAAGAAAAAATATATTGTTTCGCTTCATTGTAAATTATCTGCCCTTGAATTTAACGAAAAAGTCCAATTCAAGGGCAGATAACTCGAAAATGAGAACCGTGGTATAGAGTGGAAAAAAACCGACACCTTTAATTTTATAGAGTGGACATAACCCAAATCTGTTTAAATGCCCCTAATATGCAGGTAAGAAAAAATTATCAGTTTATGAAAATTTACTTTTTACGACATTCGACTATACCTCAGTGCAATACCCTTAACCTTTTACCCCATGAGCATATTGTGAAAAATGGCTGTTTTCATTGAAAAGCCTCCTGTAACAAGTTCAAACTGCTATGAAACTATGAAAAATGCTTCAATACTGATGAAACTTGGCACAATGTTGACTAGACCATAGACTCTGTAACAGCATGCTTTATCGTAAATTTCCTGTTACCACGGGGGGACGTCTCAAAATTGCCAAAAAACACTATTTTGTATTGTTTTTTTCCATCAAAACTGTTTCAAAGTGCTGCAGCTTCTCAGTAAATTGAGATAGTGTAAAAGGCTTTTCAGCTTCGGTTAATAGTTACCCAAAGATCGACCTGAGGATATTTTTAGCCTGTCACATGTCCAAAATTTTCTTGGCGATGAGGGGGACTGCCGCCCCCCTTCAAACCCCCCCCCAAACAGAAGGGGGCGCATCCCCCTTCAGGCAACCGCCTGATGTAATATTTGGATGGGGGATGGCGCCGAAAAAGTGGTCACTTTTTTAAGGGGGGGGGGGCAAAAAGCCGTCAAAACACGCTTGAATAAGGGAAAAGGTTAATAGTACATGTACAAAAATTGGTTGTTAATGGTCAACGCCCTTTAAAATAAGAGAATGAGCATTAACACTGCACACAGTGCTCTTGTTGAGAAAGATACAGCCATTATAATTAGGCTTTCCACAAATTCAAGATTTTGTTTGTCAAACATAACAACATTTTGGAGAAATGCCAACATATCTAATTTTTATGCCACCGCAAAGATTCACCTGTGTGTGTGTTTGTATGTGTGTTATATAGATTATATAGTGAACTTAAAACATCTTCTTGTGAAAAACCACTAGTCCAATGTCAACCAAACTTGGCAGGATTGATCCTTGGGTGAAGGACTTCCAAAGTTGTTCAAAGAATTTCATTCCATGCAGAAATCTGGTTGCAATGGCAACCAAAAGGAATTATTAGAATAAATTAAAAAAATCTTCTTGTAAAGACCCAAAAGGCCTAGAGCTTAGATATTTTGCATTAGGCATTGTCTGGTAGACCTCTACCAAGATTGTTCAAATTTATTGCCCTGGGATTAAAATTGGCCACATCCCGGGGTCATTGATTTTAACTATATGTACATAGGGTAAAAACTTAAAAATATTTTCTTGTCTAGAGGTACAAGGCTTAGAGGTTTGATATTTGGTATATGATATCATCTATAGATACTCTACCAAAGTTGTTCAAATTTTGCCTCTAGTGTCAAAATTAGCCCCGCCCCGGGGGTCATAGGTTTTCCTTATATGTATAAAGTAAAAACTTTAAAAAAAATAATTATCTTCTTGAAACTGACAAATGCTAGAGGTTAGATATTTTGCATGAAACATTGTGCAGTGAACCTCTAGCAAGATTGTTCAAATTATAGCCCTGGGTCAAAATTGACTCCACCCGGGGGTCATTGATTTTCACTATATACATATAGTAAAAAATTAAAAAAATCTTATTGTCTGAATGAACAAGGCTTAGAGCTTTGATATTTGGTATATAATATCATCTATTGGTCCTCTACCAAAGGTGCTTAAATTATACCCCTAGTGTTAGAATTGCCCTGCCCCAGAGGCGATAGTTTTCCTTATTGAGTAAAAACTTGAAAAATATTTTTCTCTGAATTGACAAAGGCTAGAGGTTAATATTTGGCATGAGACTGCTTAGCGAACCTCTACCAAGATTGTTCAAATTATAGCCCTGGGGTCAAAATTGGCCCTGCCCCAGGGGGTCATTGATTTTCACTAAGTACATAAATTATAGTAAAAAATTAAAAAATCTTCTTGTCTGAATTAAGGTACAAGGCATAGAGCTTTGATGTTTGCTATATAATATCAATAATATCATCTATAGGTCCTCTACCAAAGTTTTTCAAATTTTCCCCCTGGTGTCAAAATTGGCCCTGCCTGGGGCATTGATTCTCATTATGTACACAGTAAAAACAGAAACTAAAACAAATGTTTTCTGAATTGGAGACAGCTACAGCTTAGATATTTGACATGAAATGTTGTTTGTTGGACCTGCATCCAGATTGTTTTGAGACAGTGACCTTCTTTCTTGTCCTTTGATGTACATTGAGACACTGACCTTCTTTCTTGTCCTTTGATGTACAGCAATAAAATTTTGACCATGTGCAGTTTTAGTTGTAAAATTGAACTTTGATATCAGGTGACTTAGATTTTGATGATGTGACCTACTTTCTTGTCCTTTGATGTACAGCTATGAAATTTGAATCATGTGCACATATTAAGATGTAAAGTGAACTTTGATATCAGCTTACCTAGATTGTGTCTTACTGTGTTGTCCTTTGATGTACAGTCATGAAATTTAGGCTGTGTGAAATATGACCTTCACAACCAAATTCACTAGACTCAACTCCTTTGATATATTCCTACTCTGATCTTTTATTTGAATAACAATAGATTTAACCACTAATCTAATAATAAGATCTATGCATTATGGCAATCTTCAATTATATAGAAACAAAAAAAAATCTGTTCCTACACTACTATTTAGTGTTGTATTAATGCAGTGGCATAGCATTTTTCACAAATGCAATCTTGTTTTTGGTCTTTTGAGAAAAGGATATGTTTTCAGATATTGTGGGGCTTTTAGGAGATTTCTTTCTTTTTTTTTTTGATCAAGGTTAAGTTTAAAAGTTCTATTTATACTTGTAACTGCCAACCCCTCTTTCTAGTGTTATTAGAAATAAGTGCTCATTGGATTCATAGATTGTTGTGCTGAGTGGATTGTTAGTAAAATTAAAGTAAAGACAAGTACAGATAATTACAGTAAGGAAAGGATGATACTGGAAATGATTTCTAGTCATGTAAGAAGAAAGTCAAAAGATAAAATAGTAAAAACACTGGGAGCTGGACTAGTATTGCAACCCTACTACTTCATTTTGTCACAGTGTATAATTTTTAAAAATGCCATTATCAAATTGTGATCAAAATATGAAACTTGAATAATCATGTTGTTTGTTGTTAATTTTTGCCGTGTCGTGAAAAAACCAACATAGTGCGTTTGCGACCAGCATGGATCCACCCGCAGTCTGATCACGATCCATGCTCAGTTCTCCACTTGTAACAGAGTTGGTTAGCAAACAGCATGGATCCTGATCAGACTGCGTGGACGCACTATGTTGGTTTTGTCATGACACAGCTCATTTGTCGGTGACTTTTTCAGATATCAAGCGGAGCAAGTATTATGGATATAAAACAACAACTTCAAAGTCAAGTTTCTATTCCAGTAGACCAGCAGAAACTTATATATCAAGGCAAAGCTTTGTTAGGTGAGAAATGTTAAATGTTATAATAAAATGTACATTTTTAGCTCGACTATTTGAAGAATATGAGAGCTATTGTAGTCGCCTCGGCGTCGGCGTCAGCGTCCGCGTCGGCGTCTGCTTTGGTTAAAGTTTTTTGTAAAGTCAAATATCTCAATTATTACTTGAGATATTTCAATTGAACTTACAATACTTATTTATAGTAACAAGGTACATCAGATTGACAAGTTGGATAACTCTGCCTACAATATTGACAGAATTATGCCCCTTTTTAACTTAGAAATTTTGGTTAAAGTTTTTTGTAAAGTCAAATATCTCAATTATTGCTTGAGATATTCAATTGAAACTTACAATACTTATTTATAGTAACAAGGTACATCAGATTGACAAGTTGGATAACTCTGCCTACAATATTGACAGAATTATGCCCCTTTTTAACTTAGAAATTTTGGTTAAAGTTTTTTTATAAAGTCAAATATCTCAATTATTGCTTGTAATGAGATATTCAATTGAAACTTACAATACTTTATTTATAGTAACAAGGTACATCAGATTGACAAGTTGGATAACTCTGCCTACAATATTGACAGAATTTATGCCCCTTTTTAACTTAGAAATTTTGGTTAAAGTTTTTTGTAAAGTCAAATATCTCAATTATTGCTTGAGATATTCAATTGAAACTTACAATACTTATTTATAGTAACAAGGTACATCAGATTGACAAGTTGGATAACTCTGCCTACAATATTGACAGAATTATGCCCCTTTGGAACTTAGAAATTTTGGTTAAAGTTTTTTTATAAAGTCAAATATCTCAATTATTGCTTGAGATATTCAATTGAAATTTAAAATATTTTTTATAGTAACAATGTACATCAGTTTGCAAAATTGCATAACTCTGTCTGCAAAATTTGCAGAATTATTTGCCCTTTGAAAGTTAGAATTTTGGTTAAAGGTTAAAGGTCTTCAAAGATATTTACTTGAAACTTTACACATGCACTTAGGGTCATAATTGGAGGGGTCATAATTGTATGTCACTGACCAAGTTCATAACTCTATCTTGCATTAAGGCTGATTCATATTCCCTTTTCTACTTAGTCCTCTTGGTTAATGTTGTACATGCAGTTTTTTTACATATCTCAATAACTATTATTAAAGATATTTATTTAAAAACTTCAACATATGCATTTAGGGGTCATAATTGTAGGTCACTGACAAAGATCCATAATTCTATCTTTTGCAATTTAGGCTGATTTTTCTCCCCTTTTTCAACTTAGAAATTCATGGTAAAGTTTTGCTTGTAAGCTGTTATCTCAATAACTACTGAAGGGTTTGTGCCTTTTTGGGACAATTTTATGCATTCATAATACTGTAACCCAACGAATATTCGCGACCAATTAATATTCGCTTTATTCGCGGATGGCCACAAAGCGCGAATATTTGTTTGCGCGAATAAGTCCGCACGATTTCGCGAATAAATTGGAGAGAAATTTTTATTTTAGATGTTGTTTATGCAAAGCTACTTGACCGGATATATTCTAATTTTACGGGCACCTGTTAGGAAGTAATGTATTGTTATGAATATTGCCATAAATCAATAAAAACACAAACTAAGTAAACTACTACTTTTTTATAAATATCAAAAGAACTCTATGTCAATATAGCAATCAAAATAAACATCCACATTTTAATACTATTAAATATAATAATAAATGTTTGAATAAATCGTTTGACAAAAGTGGGAAAACTATCGAGCATCACAAAAGGCTATTGCTTTTTGGATCCTTTAAAATAATTGTTTGAGTGAATTGTTAAGACAAAGGTGGTATAAACCTATCGAGCATCACAAAAGGATATTGGGTGTACATAATTACAAACAGTGAAATACAAAATGGTTTCATACTAATATCGATTTTTACCCGTCAAACTTATCATTCTGTATTATAACATAATTTTCTCGGCGTGGGTTCGATCCCAGATTGGAGAAGGTATTTTTTTATGAAACGCTTAAATTGATTTACTTAAAGACTTTTCTAGATAAACTGTGGGTACAAAATATAAATATGTTATAGAAATAACGACAGAAGAACGATGCGTACATGTACATATATAGAGAAAATGTTTTGCTGAATTGTGATCACAATTCACTTACCAATACAATATAAGGCTAGCGTATTGTTAATCCCATTTAAGACACCAATAATGACCTCAATTATTGAAGATTAATAGTCGGCTAATGGATTTTACGGCCCCATCGGACTTTCCAATCCGCGAATATTTTTTTTTTCGAAAATCAAGAAAACGCGGAAATTAATATTCGCGAATATGTCCGACCTCGGCAAAACGCGAAAATTTGTATTCGCGAATATAAATTGGGTTACAGTAATAAAGCAGTGATTTACTTGATAAAACATCCTAATAACAAGCCTTTGTACCTTTTCTGTCAAATTTATGTATTCATAGGTTATTAGTATTATTATACTCAATAAAACACCCTTGTGACATTACCTTCCGAATAGTCAAGCCAATACTGTATAATTGGCCTATAACATGAATTTATAAAAAAAAATTGGCCCTTTAGTGAACTTAAAAAATTTAACATTATGAAGGCTCTTTTACTATCAAGCACTTAGAATAGTCGAGCATGCTGTCCTACTGACAGCTCTTGTTTTATTGAAAAACTAATTGACATTATTTTGAAATGATTAATTGAAAGGAACTGGTGGTCAATTGTTAAGGTGTTTACCTCACAACCCAGAGCCCAGAGATGTTCAGTCTGTGTCCTAGGATAAATCTTCCCTTACAATACAGGGGCTAATACAAGTTTCCCAATGGAGCATAAGTAGCTTCTATTAAGAGTGTTTCTATTAATTTCATTGCTTATTAAGAAGAGTATTTTTTATACCTTCTTATGGAAGTAAAATGTAAAAAGAGCAAAATTAAATGAGATTTTTAGAGTAACCAAGTTTTATTTGCAAAGTTTAGCAAACATAATTTGTAAAGAAAAAGTTCATGGCCAACCAGAATCTTTATCGTGGGCCATTTTTTTTTAATTACTTATTGGATTATCTTCATACTTGGACAGAAAAATGTTTTGGACAAGACCTTCAAGTAGACCAAATTGATTATGACCTTCACTCATCAATGTTCTTGAATTTGAAGGTTAAATAAACGGATTTTGTTTGATTTTACTATAATTTGCTGTAACTTTGTTATTTATTAATGGATTGTCTGCATAGTTGACAAAACTATCTTTAGGACAATGTCTCAAAGAAGATCAAACTCAGTTTGACCTTAGCTTTTTAAAAAAACTCTTCTTCTCCAAAAGTGCAAGGCCTAGAGCCTAAATATTTTTGTGTGGCATAGTCGAATGAAATTCTACATAAATTATTCAAGTCAAAACGTTGGGTCAAAATTGTCCTTGTTCTGGTTTGTGGGGGTCATGACTTTTCCTTATATATAATGAATACTTAAAAAGTCTTCTACTTAAAATGTTTCATGCCAAATATCTAAGCTTTGATATTTTTCTTATACATGTATGTATAGCAACAAGTGCCATTGCAACCTGTTGCTTCCATAGTAACCATTGACTCTCCGTGGCAACCAGTGACTTCCATTGCAACCAGCGACTTTTCATAGCAACCATGAATTTCTAAAGCAACCAGCACAACCAGTGACTTTCCATAGCAATCATCGACTTCCCACTGATTTTCCATAGCAGCCAGTGACTCCCATAGCAAACAAGGACTTTCCCTAGCAACCAGTGACATTCATAGCAACCAGTTACTTTCTATAGCAACCAGTATTGTAAGTTCCATTGCAACTAGTGACTTTCCATAGCAATCAGTGACTTCTAATTGACTTTCCATATGACCAGTGACTTCCAAAGCAACCATGACTTCAAAAGCAACCAGTGACTTGCCAAAGCAACCATTGACTTCCATAGCAACCATTGACTTTTCATAGCAACCATTGACTTTCGATAGCAACCAGTGACTTCCATAGCAATCATTGACTTTCCATAGCAATCATTGACTTTCCATAGCAATCACCATAGCAATCATTGAATTTCCATAGAAACCATTGATTTTCCATGGCAGTCATTGATTATCCATTGTAAGCATTGACTTGCAATAACAATCATTGACTTCCATGACAACCAGTGACCTTCTGAGCAACCATTGACTTTCCATAGCAACCAGTGTAAGTCTGTATACTTCAGTCAGATGAGCAATAAAGGGCCATCATGCCCCTTTTGTTTGCTGTAAAAGAGTAACTTTGTAAGTAATGAATGTGTTGCCTTCATACTTGTGCACAAAAATTCTTTAGATATTACTTTAAAGAAAATTTAATTAAACCTGACCTTACATTAATTTGTCATTGACACTAAAGGTCAAATAATTAAAAGTTGCTTAAATTATCATAAGTATTTATTTATGAATTTGATTCATTCTTGGACATTAGAGCATTTATGACAAACTGACTTAATGATTAATTTGAATTTGACCTCAACCTTTCAATGACATTGACCATCAAGGTCAGATATGAAATTTAAATTTTATTTTGTTACAAGAAAATGATGTTTTCTAAGAGTACTCCTTACTATTGCTATAGTATTCTACCTCTGATGTGTTTGACTTAAAAAAGGTAAAATTAAAATTCCAGCCTGATCCCCACTTAAGGCAATGACTGTTGTAGTAACTATAATTTAACCTGTATCATCTTTCAGATGAAAAGACTATTGAACACTACAAGATAGGAGATGGTGCCAAACTTTTTCTTATGTTGAAGAAACCAGGTGCTGGGGCCACACCTGCCACATCTTCTTCTACACCCTCCCAAACACCTATCAAATCTCCAGATGTTGCCCCTATGGCGGTTGATACTCCTCAGGTAATGATAATTTTTATTAGATGTTTAAATCATGCTGCACTCTTCAAACTGATATGAATTATTTTGCATCTACAGGCATACAGGTTTCATTGCACCAGTAAGTTGTAAGTTACAGATGATTTTAACATAACATGAATCAGTGGTCAAAGACAGGGGCCAGAAGCATGTGCTTTTAATTATTTTAAAATTTTCCCCAAAATTTGGTCCTTTCTCTGGGTTTGCTGTATTATTTAATTTTTTCTAAAAAAAAAAAAACACTGTTCTATTTATTACCCCGATAGTGAGGGTAGGGATTGGTTTTAATTTTTCTTTCCAAAATAAAGTTTTATAATTTAATGTCATAGAAAATTAAGGTAAAAATGGGTTGATTTTTGATTTAAATTAAAAATTTTTAAAATTTTTAATAATGTTTTTGATTTTTCCGTTTATTTGCAAAAAAAGTTTATGGGAAATTTTAAATTTTATTATTTATAAATTATTTAAACAAGGTAATGCATTATTTTTTGATTTTTTTGCTTTTTTTATCCCGAAAATTTTATTTAAGCAACAATTGCAGAATTATAATTATTAATTGATAAATGGACCCCAATTTTCCCCCCCCTATATATAATATTTTAGAAGAACTTATTTCATCCATGCGATCTGATCAGACTGCATACTGTTAGTTGATTAATAGCGGGATTTGGAAGTTTGAGTTTTGAACCTATAACCGGTCTTATAGTCAAAGTATTGGCTTTTAAAAATGTGTTTTGATTTTAATATGGATGTACATGTATTTATCTATAAAAACTAGCAATTGATATTTCCAAAAGAACACAAGACTGGTCTTTTACATCAATCTATTAAAAGGGGCCCCAGCATTGCTGTAGCAATAAATGATTATCATATGGTGTACAGTCAGGAAATATTTTGCTACTCACAAATACAGGTTTAAGTCCCACAACAGACATTGCATTCTATGATATGAGAAAGTTTTCCAGCTAACTTACCCATAACTGGTTCAAGTAGGTGCTACTGGGTTGTTGGTTATAGTGTCCAGGTCGTAACCTGAGATATTTCTCCGCAAGTTACAGAAGAAACTTGCCAAGAAACTTGCCATATGACCATTACACTATTAGTGTGATTTAAAATCCGAGCTTAAAGCCAAACAAAAAAAGGGAACACATGGTAGAAAAACATCAAATGTTTATGTTACATTGTTGTTGTTTTTTTCTGTTTTGACAGGAGGAAGAGTTTACATTGCCGGATGATCCATCAGGGTTTTGGAAAAAACTTTCTGACTTTTTAAAAAGACACTTTACTGATAAGGATGCAATTAAAGTTTTAAAAGAATTTAAAAAGGTAATCATTTTATCATTCTTTGGCTTGATTCACTAAGAAAATTTAATATTTATAAAAAAAAATCACGAGAATAACGGTAAACTTTGGTCTATGTATATAATATATATCAGTAGTTTTTAATGCTTTAGCATTTCACATTATAATACTATGTATTTTACACCCTAATAAAACACACACAAAAGAATTTTGTCTTGCACTGTATCGTTAATTAACAAATAACATGCTGAAACCACAAGTGTTAAGCTTTTTGCAGGAAAAGGGCCAGGCTCTGGTTTTTGTTGGTAAATTCTTTACAAAGAAAAATTTAAAACTATTTATGAAATTTCAGCAAAGGTTGTTGTTTCCAAATTGGGTTTTCAACTTTGGAAAAAAAATTTTAAAGTAGTCATTATTCCCAAAAAATTTTCAAAAAGGGAACGACCCCTGAAACTTTGAACCCTACTTTCTTAAAGAGAAGTGCATTTGTAATGCAAGGGGAATAATTCTGAAATCTATATTTTCAGTGTTGTGCCCCTTTTAACTTAGACTGTTTTGCCAGTTAAATCCAATGATTTTAAAACTGCTAAAAGTATCAACATGAAATACTTCTTTATCATGACAAAGCACAAATGTTAGACAAGGGACATTATTATGTAAGCTAAATTTTTGGAGTTTAACTTAGAATTTTTTGTCAAAATTGTTTATTACATGTATTTAGTAGAATGATTTCAAAACTATGAAAGATATTTACAGGAAATTTTAATTGCTTGGTTATCTTGACAATGCACTGTTAATATAGGGACATAATCCGAAAAAAATATTTTAGAAGTAATGCTCCTCAAAGCTGTGGCAATGCATAATGATGGTCATAGCTTAATGAGATTTTACTTTTTTTCTATTCACTCTGAAATAAATACTGTTATTCTTTGTCATTTTTCAGAATCATGACAGAGGGTTAAACAGTCTCAGTTTAGATGATATAGAACGACTGGCTGCAAACAAGTTAAGGAATGAGGACAAACTATACCATTCTCTCAGATCCTGATAAATATTGACAATAGTAACTTAATTGTAAAATGTTCTTACTAAAAGTTCAAGGTCAGCTTGATTTCTGCCATTCTTGAAATTTTTGTTGACATGAGTTGTATATTTATAAAGTATGTCTTAAATACAATTACAGGTGAAAAAAAATCTGATGTGTGGGTTTTTCTACATCAGATTTTATTTTTTAATGGTGATAATGTAATTTTGATTAAAAAGAAAAACGTTCACAGCATTTTTTTTCAGTATATTGCTTGAGGTAATGGTAAACATATATGAATCAAAGGTGTCTTCAGACAATTTTTTGTGTGCTGAAAATGTTTATACTGAATAGATGTATGCATTAAATTTAAAGGAAAAGCAAGATAAATATTGAATAAGCAGTTCAGATGTTGATAAACTGATATGCGCTATTATAGTTTTTAAAGGTACAGTAATATAAATTGCTGAACCTCAGTTATAACATGAGTAAAAAAGTGATACTTCTATACTGAAGTGTAGCATTTTGATGGATGTTGAATGTCATTTGTGTAAATAAATATAAAATTTTATCTGATAAATCTGAATTTTGTTTGATTTATTTAAATAATAATCAAAATTGGCCCGCCCAAGGTCATTGATTTTCCTTATGTGTATATAGTAAAAACAAAACAGAAAATCTTCATTATACTATAGAGTATAGAGGCTTTAGCTTAGATATTTGGTATGAATCATTGTTTGGTGGACCTCTACTAAGTTTGTTTAAATTATAGGCCTAAGGTCAAAAATGGCCCCGCTCCTTCTATGTACAGTAATAATTTTCACTTATAGCGAATACGGTTATAGCGAACTTCTGGTTATAGGGAACAATTTATTTTGAACGGAATTTTGCCCTTCTTTATTATACCCCCACCACAAAATGTGGGGGGGGCTATAATGGATTCGCTTTGTCGCGTCGGTCGGTCCGTCCGTCGGTCGGTCCGTCCGTCTCCATTTCTGTGTCCGCTCTATTACTCCTATACCAATTGAAGGATTTTCTTCAAACTTGGCTCAAATGTTCATCTCAACAAGGGGATGTGCAGAACCCATGTTGCCCATGTGTCAGCTCAAGGTCAAGGTCACAATTCAAGGTCAAATATCAAACACTATCAAATATTACACAGTATGTCGTGTCCGCTCTGTAAGTCCTACACTACTTGAAAGATTTTCTTCAAACTTGGCTCAAATGTTCACCTCAACCAGGGGATGTGCAGAACCCATGTCGCCCATGTGTCAGCTCAAGGTCAAGGTCACAATTGAAGGTCAATTATCAAACAATTAAATATAACACAGTATGTCGTGTCCGCTCTGTAAGTCCTACACTACTTGAAAGATTTTCTTCAAACTTGGCTCAAATATTCCCCTCAACAAGGGGATGTGCAGAACCCATGTTGCCCATGTGTCAGCTCAAGGTCAAGGTCACAATTGAAGGTCAAATATCAAACGATTAAATATTACACAGTATGTCGTGTCCGCTCTGTAAGTCCTACACTACTTGAAATATTTTCTTTATCTTTGAAATATTTTCTTTAAACTTGGCTCAAATGTTCACCTCAACAAGGGGATGTGCAGAACCCATGTTGCCCATGTGCCAGCTCAAGGTCAAGGTCATAATTGAAGGTCAAATATCAAACAATCAAATATTACACAGTATGTTGTGTCCGCTCTGTAAGTCCTACACTAATTGATAGATTTTCTTCAAACTTGGCTCAAATATTCCCTTCAACAAGGGGATGTGCAGAACCCATGTTGCCCATGTGTCAGCTCAAGGTCAAGGTCACAATTGAAGGTCAAATATCAAACAATCTAATATTACACATTATGTCATGTCTGCTCTGTAAGTCCTACACTACTTGAAAGATTTTCTTCAATCTTGGCTCAAATGTTCATCTCAACCAGGGGATGTGCAGAACTTATGTCACTCTTTTGCTGGCTTAAGGTCAAGGTCACACTTGAAGGTCAAAACTTGACTTAGAAAAAATTCTTAAATTTTAACATTTATTTGAATATTCTAAATATAGAAAAGGTATTTGCTTGATACTTAAAATATTTTTGAAGGGTCACAAATACGATATGCTGTTCAAGTTTCATAACTCTGTATTGCATTTAAACAGAGTTATGCCCCTTTTTAAGTCTTCAAATTTACATACAATCAAATATTAGACAATATGTTGTGTCCGCTCTATAAATCCTATACCAATGGAAGAATTTCCTTCAAACTTTACTCAAATGTTCACCTCAACAAGGTTATGTGCAGAATCCATGTCACCTTTGTACCGGCTAAAGGTCAAGGTCACACTTGAAGGTCAAAAATTGACTTAGAAAATGTTCTTAAATTTTAACATGTTCTTGAAACTAGCTCAGGCATTTGCTTGAAACTTAAAAGATATATGAGATGTGGCAAATAAGATATGTAGGTCAAGTTTCATTACTCTGTATTGCATTTTGACAAAGTTATCCCCTTTTTAAGTCTTCAAATTTACATACAACCAATACTAGACAATATATTGTGTCTACTCTATAAATTCTATACTGATGGAAGGATTTTCTTCAAACTTTACTCAAATGTTCACCCAAAATGGGTGATGTGCAAAACCCATCTTACCCTTGTGCCAGATTAAGGTCAAGGCCACACTTGAAGGTCAAAAATTGACTTATAAATAAAATGTTTAATGCATTGGGAAAATGAAAGGTTATTTGTAACTGTTTCGAACAGTTTTGATAATATATATTTATACTATTACCTGTACAATTAGTCTTTTTTTCACCAGAGATAATTTCTTTTTATGTATTTGTGCCACATAAATTATTCCCTTAACCACCTTTCCAAGTGGTCTTCTGTCAAGGACATTGGTGGGGGTATGAATCGCATTCAGCGATAGTTCTAGTTTCATATAAAATTATACGGTTATAGCGAACACGGGTATAAGGAATTATTGCTTATAAGGAACGCATTTATTAGTCCCAATTTAGTTAAAAGTACAGAAAATTACACTTTTATAATGAACTCCAAAATACTGGCTATCCGTAAATAGATCCCGCATTTTAAACATTCGTTTTGATTGGCACGGATAAAATCTCGGCCAAATGTACCGTTTTATTGTTGTATATCATTCAATACATCTATTGAAATGAATATGTATACTTTTCTATTTAGAAAATTTTTAGCATGAGCTCTTTTCAGCAAGATAAAACGGTTATTCATTTTATTCTATTATTTCTTTTCTTCAATAGTTTTGCTCGAGTAAAATAATTATAATAATTTATAATACGGTTTTCAACATAATCACACATGCTTGCAAGCATGATCCATTGCAAAATGCAAAATACGCTTGATTTAAATGAAAAAATTCTATATCGTTCATCAGTAAAGGTCACCCTTAAAATATAAAAGGAAGGAAAAATCGAAAATCTTGTTTATTCTCAATTATGGAGAGAAAACGAAAAGAGTTTAGAAACAAAATATCATATTTTATGAGAAACTGAGATAGGGAGTAAAACTAAAACTGCAATAGCAAGGGAAACATTTTCTGGTGAACCTCTACAAAATTGTTCAAAATATAGCCCTTGGTCTGCTTCACGGGAACATAGTTTTCTCTTATAATATTATAGTAAAAAAATTCTTCTCTAAAACTGCAAGAGTTAAAGCTTTACATGAAACACTGTCTAGTAGAACCCTACCAAATTTTTTTTCAAATTGTATCCCTTGGATCAAATTTAGCCCCACCCAAGGGGAACAGATTTTCCTAATCTGTGACTTCTCATACCAAACAGTGACTTTCCATAGTTACCATAATCTCCCAAAGCAGCCAAACATTTCCATAGCAACTAATGGCTTTCCATAACAACCACTGACTTCTATAGCAACCATTGACTTTCTATAACAACCATTAATTTCCATACTAACCAGTGGCTTACATAGCAACTATTGACATTCCATTGCAACCATAGGCCACTTATGCATCCATTGACTTTCCATAGCAACCAGGGACTCTCCATGGCAAACACTGACTTTCAATAGCAACCAGTGATCAATATTGCAACCATTGACTTTCCATAGCAACCAGTGATCAATATTGCAACCATTGACTTTCCTTTGCAACCATAGACATCAATAGCAACCAGTGACTTCTCACAGCAACCAGTGACTTCTCACAGCAACCAGTGACTCACATAGAAGCAATTGACATTCTATTGCAACCATAGACTTCTTTAGTACCCAATGACTCTCCATTGCATCCAGTGATTGCCATAGCAACTATTGACTTTCTATAGCAACTTTTGGATTATAATAGCAACCAGTGACTTCTATTGCAACATTTGGCTTTCCATAGCAACCACTGATGTTCATAGCAACCACTGAATTGCCACAACAACCATATACTTTCATAGCAACTGGCGACTTTCTACAGTCACAGTCACTTTCCATAGAAGTCATTGACTTTCATAGCAATCAGTTACATTCCTTTGCAACCATAAACTTCCATATCAACCAGTGATTAACATAGCAAACATTCTATTGCAACAATAAACTTCTTTTAGCACCCAATGACTCTCCATTGCATCTAGTGATTGCCATAGAAATTATTGACTTGCTATAGCAACTATTGGATTATAATAGCAACCAGTGACTTCTATTGCAACCTTTGGCTTTCCATAGCAACCACTGATGTTCATAGCAACCAATGAATTGCCATAACAACCATGTACTTTCATAGCAACTGGCGACTTTCTACAGTCACAGTCACTTTCCATAGAAGTCATTGACTTTCATAGCAATCAGTTACATTCCTTTGCACCATAAACTTCCATCAACCAGTGACTTGTCATAGCAACCAGTGATTCACATAGCAACCATTGACATTCTATTGCAACAATAAACTTCTTTTAGCACCCAATGACTCTCCATTGCATCTAGTGATTGCCATAGAAATTATTGACTTTCTATAGCAACTATTGGATTATAATAGCAACCAGTGACTTCTATTGCAGCCATTTGCTTTCCATAGCAAACATTGATGTCCATAGCAACCACTGTATTGCCATAGCAACCATAGACTTCCATAGCAACTGGTGACTTTCTTCAGCAACCATTGACATCCATAGTAAACAGTGACTTCAAATCGCAATTATTGACTCTCATAGCAACCATTGACTTTCCATAGCAACCATTGGGTTTCCATAAGAACTATTGACTTCCAAAGCAACAAGTGACTTGATAGCAGTCTTTGACTTTCCATAGCAAACTGAAAATTTCCATAGCAACCAGTGATTTCTATAGAAAACATTGACTTTACAGAGCAGCCAGTGACTTCCATAGCAAACATTAACTTTCCATAGCAACAAGTAAATCTACCATTGAATTTCATGGCATTCACTGACTTTCACAGATACCACTGATTTGCATTTGTATACCCACCAGTGACTTCTTTAGAAAGTATTGTTTTCCGTTAGCAATAGCAACTAGTTATGTTTTTAGCTCACCTGTCACAAAGTGACGGGGTGAGCTTTTGTGATCGCTTTTCGTCCGGCGTCCGTCCGT